ATCCAAACAAGAAGTGCAACCCAACTGTCAGTCTTAAACCTTTAGCAAACCAAAAAGTAGGTAAACATTGTTCTCAATGCTTTCAAGCTTGTGCAAGTGCTTTGAATTTTGGATTGTCATATATGTTTTCATGAGTTAAATTTCCTTGCTTTCCATCAAAGCAATACTTTTTCCTTGCGTAGATGAATAACTTTGCAATGATCCATATCGTAATTGATATGTTTTTATGACACTAAGCGTGTGACTACTTAAAATATAATGTCTTTGTTACCACGATCTAAACTGACTCAAAGAACACCAAATGCTGTGCCATTAATTAACCCTTTAATGAGGCATTTGTGCTCATCCTTCCCTTTTCTTCTTTTGAAATGTATAAGAAAACGATAGATAATTTTGGAAAATTAATTATGCATCATCATTTGCAACAGGAGTCAAACTACAAATTTTGGTACTCTTATGTGTCTAGGAGTTAAAGTTGTTAATTTCTTGTTATTCCTGTCTTGTTTCTATGTCGGATACAATGTTTTCATGCTATGATTGATTTGTACATTTACGTTTTAAACTGCTTTTCTTGCTTCATTTGAGCATGCAGATGCTAGCATGACTTGTTCTGTCAAAAGAGTTATTTTCTTCCCACAAATCTAATGTTCTCTACGCAGATTTATCTCTCTGTTTTTTTGTTGGGTAAGCGTGTGAATATTTATTTGTATTTTAAATTATATTTTAGTCAATTGATTTTGTCTTTATCCAAGAGAATTCCCAATCTGTTAGTTTCTTTAGTTTCCTTTTAGTCTCTGCAATTTTTGGCTGACCTGTGCTTTCTGTTTTTGGTGTACATCAACTGCAAGGCAAATAAATGCAACTAACTGACACTTAGATGTTCACTTGGTGTTGTACTGCAGAAAGAGTGGTGAGCTCCCCATTTTCACTTATTTTGTATTTTATTTACAAAAGAAAAATTACTGAAATGGTTGTTTTGGTTAATTTAACCGTAGGGCAACCGGAATCAGCAGCCCGATTCGAACTTCTGCAGCCATATATGAAGAGGAGGAAGGCGCAATTTTCATGTGATATATGTTGATCAAGGTAATATGGGTTGTCTTCTTTCTTATTGTGTACAGCATGTCTGAGGCAAAGGACAACTAATTTTAAATAGGTTGTTCATCAAATTCATTTAGTCATTTGATTTTGTCTTGATAACTCTTTAATCCATAAATTCATGTTTTCTTAGATTGGTATGATTTGGGTGGCTCCAACCGTGAAGGAAGTGTTAGGCTGGTAATGGGCATTACAAGGGCCAAATTCGTTATAATTGAGACTTTATTACTAGATACCTTGTATTTTTTAGTATGTTTAATTTTAATTTTAATTTTAATTCATATAGTAATTGTAATAATATTTATAGACAACTTGAATGTTGTAATAATTGTAATATATTATTACATCGAATATACAATTTCCATTCTTTTTCATCAAGAAGCTTATTTAATTTTTTTTTAATTATTAGTATTTTGTTTCTTGATGGCTAAACTGTCAAGAAAAGAGAGATTACTTGACGGTTAAAAGCTGTCAAGGAGAACGATTAGTTGATGGTTAAAAGCCATCGAGCAAAATGATTACTGGACGGTTCATAGGCATCAATAAATTGGGTACCCCTTTTCTGACAGTGGCATTGTTGACGTTTTCTGAGCCGTCAAGTACTATGTTTCCTGACACTTTTTAGCCGTCTCTAAATGGTGTTTTTCTTGTAGTGACAAACCCATAAATGCATAAGAAAAGAAGATTCTTACAAAGAAACACAAGCAAGGTCAAGAAATCCTAGATCTATTTAGGAAGATAAGCTGTACCTCTTTTGTGCAATCTTCTTCTCCAACTTAACAAAACTAGCAGCTTAGTCTTTCATTGCAATGACAACTCCTTCTTCGGCTCTTTTATCCTATGGCATTAGCTAGCCAGCTCAAACTCAGACAGAAACCAAAATTTGGATTCAATGAAATGACCAATTTCTTCAAGAAACCATACTCTTGAATAAACTAATATTGAATCTGACCTAGATGTATATGAGAATGTCTAGATGCATATTTCATATTTCAAAAGTAGTTTTCGAAAAATCAATTTAGAAAACTCATAGATGAAAATGGTGGTTTTCTCTTGAGGAATGAGAGATAGCAAAAGGATAGGAAAAACCTTTTCAAAACCTCACCTCAAATTTGACAGCTGCCAAATGAGGAATCATTTGGCTTTTACCCAAAAATTCATAGGTCAGAAAAGTACACATGGCAACTGAGAAAATTTGCATAATAGGACAAAAAGGTTTGTTAGGATCCAGCTAAAAACAGTGAGCTGGAAATCCTACTAATGCAAAGGATGACTAGTCATACAAAACAAGATGACTAGTCATAATCTTAAGAAATCTAATGAATACAACATGATCCAATGCACAAATTACCTTTGCCAATATGATTGATCTTCAATAAGATAGCAGCCAGATAAGAACACTTAGAGAAACTATTCTTAATCTAAACTTGAGCTTGGGTGATTAGAATGTATGTCCTATTACAATATTGTCAAGGGAAGCCAAAAGAAAAACTCAAAATGCATACACTTAACAATTTGATTAATTCCTTATATGAACTCAATAGCAACTCATGTACATTTTATTTATATCAACCTCTCCCCCCACCACCCCACCAAGTTGTGCTGTTGATTATATTCCTTCTTTTTCTTGCTCTGATTATGCTCTATTGCATACAACCCAGATGAGGATTATGCAGAGGTGTGTGCACATTTGGCATCTTTCCTAGAAATTGCAAGATCATTCAATACGATTTACACTAAGGTTTGACCTGCTCTTTCCTTTCATATACTCTGCCTTTTGATAATCTGCTATCCCTTCAAATGTCATACTTTTGTAGGAAATATGTTCCTGGACACACATGATGGAGGTACCCCAGCTCCATGGTTTTCAACTAGCGTTGCCAATTGCTTGTTAGACGCATACTAAATGCCTAGTTAAATTATTTACCTTTTGTGTTGTAGGGGAAGGAATGGGGGGGTGGGGAAAAATAATTTTCTTTGTTTTGAAGTTGGAGGGAGGACATAGAAAAGAAAGTTGGCGAGTTACTTTTCCCTTGAGCTGGAAAAGCATTCCCCTTTAGCCCAGGAAAATATTTCTTCTTTTCCCTGAACTCGAGGGCCGCCTCTGAGAGACATTGTGTTGTGTTGTGTCTATGTAGGAATTCGATAGAAACGCTCAACTGTGTCACAATTAGTTAAATTCTTTTAGAAGATGGAACATCCATTCTCCATATGTTTCCTATCCTCCCATGTTCTTCAACCCAACAGCAGTAGAAAACCTACGCTAAAATCGTCCATTGAATTTTCTCTCATCCCATTCTCTCATCACCAAAAAAGGCCTTTTGGTGACTAAAGCCTTTAGTCACCCCAGCAAATGTCACCAAATGTCACCAAATAATGGTGACTATTGCCATTTTTTATTTTTTATTTATTTTTATAGTGATGGTATTGCTTCCTGATGACCTTTTGTGTGTGTGTGTGTGTTTTTGCGTGTGAGAGTGTGTGGTGTAGGTGCAATGGGCAAGGGGCAAGGGGGTGTGGAGTTTCTAGGTCAGGTGAGGTTACTTGGGTATGGAGCATCAGTGCAAATGAATAAACTGTATAATGCTGCATTTTTAATAGTACTATTGGTATGACCATGAATTTCTAGTAAGGCATCTCTGTTTTCCTTGCATTTATTGTAATTCCTAGGGAACTTGAGGAATCTTAGAGACTCGCATGCAGCTCTTGCTGTTGGATCATCTTGGTGGCATAAGCCATAATTCAAGGATCACGTGATCCCTGATTTCCTGCTGTAATTCACCTTACCTAATTAGAATAATTACCTAGTTAGGATTCCTTGTAATTAGCTAATTACTTTTCCTAGTAGGAAAAGTCAACTTGTAGTTCTATATATATCCTCCTCTTGGAGGAATATAATATCAATCACAATTATTCAATCCTGTGTTTAGTTTGAGTTGGTATCATTACCGGTTAATCACGGTCTCTCAAACAAAAATACAAACCTTACCCATCGGCATCCTCTGGTGCTAACTACAGAAAGAAAAAAAAAACTGAATTGCCGTAAAACAGCGGCTAAGCCCTTGTCGTCACAAACCTAGTGCGGCAAAAGATTCCTACAACACCAACCATCCAAACTTTTTCTCTCTCTCCTCTGTGGCTTTTGAAGATACCCCAGACAACCCCATTGCAGCCGCAAAATCCAGTGCTTCAGAAACCCACAAAAATCTTGACATGGCGTAACTAATTGTTACAGTTTGCAATGATACTTCCGCTGCCCCATTCACGATATGGTTGAATGGAAAGAAATATAACACTTGGTCAAAGATGATGTTGCTTCATGTGTCAGGACAGGGAAAAAGAGGTTATCTGATAGGGAAGGTGGCCCAAGTGGAGGAAGACGCTCCGGGCTTTGATTCGTGGTGTATTGATGGCTCCATTTTTAAAGGATGGTTGATAAAAACCATGGAACCTGATTTGGTAGAATTGTTCTTAGATCTACCAACAGGTAAAGATGTCTAGGAAAGTACAGCCCAGATGTAATATGACGCGTATGATGAGTTGCAGATTTATGAATTACAGTGTAAAGCAACCTATATTGCTCAAGGAGGTCGTGATATTGCATCCTACTTTGCTGAGCTCAAGAGCATTTGGTTGAAACTAAACCGTTGTCATTCAATCAACATGAAGTGCCTTGACGATTTGAAGATTTGACAAGCTGAGATACAGAGAGACCGTATTTATGATTTTCTTGTACGTCTAGGTGATGAGTTTGATCAAATTAGAGGAGATTTGTTTGGCCGACCCTTCATGCCCCCCAAGTCCACTTGGTTGGCCAATCTTTGTCTTTGACCGAGGCTCAATAAACTTGACCATTAGTAATTGTGGTCTCATAATGTCGAGCTTTTCTCCTACACTCATGTCTACCATGATTGTAGGTCATTCCATCCTATGATGGTTGCTTTGGGTTGGGCAATATTTCCATCCTCAACATTAACCACCTTTTGAGTTTCATCCTCTTGGGTGTCTTCAACCAATGTCAAGTTCTCGATAATAAGGTAAATATTCAATTTTAAGGTTATTTCATCCACATCTTTCTCACTCTTGTATTCTCTACCAATCTCATTTTCCTCTAGAGGAGTAGGTGGAATGGGTGGCCGAATTGCAACCATATGAGGATTTTCCTCTTCTGACTAAGAATCAAGGTTGGGGTTGAGAGTTTGATCCTCGACTCACTGACAAAGTCGAAATGAAATCTCAAGCAAACTTTGGATGAAAAGGTCCACTATGCCAAAAAAGGCCTTTAGCAACGGATAAAATCCGTTGCTTATTACCTATAAATATCGTGGTATTCAAGAATGTTGCCTATTACTATGTAATAGGCAACGAATATTATCCGTGACCTTTTTATAGTTATAGCATCAGATATTTGGTAAAATCTGATGCGTAAATGATTTCCGTGTGTCAAAAAAACGTTGACTTCTGACGTCTAAACCTAAAACAACATCAGTGATTTTAAAAGGGAGAAGGCTAAAGAGATATTATAGCATTAGTGATATCTCCTATACTGATGCGTATTATCAATTACAACATCACATAAACAAATAGTGCTGTTACGAATTATGTTATACGTCATCGCTTTTTCTATTTTGCGGATATGAAAAGCCTCCAATGATCTTACCTTGGTATTTATGTGTTCTTAAGTGATGAAACTGTTTTTACATGTGAAAGAGGGAAGCATATTTTATTTTAAATTGTTGGTATTGACATTAAGGTTTCACGAGGTCAATGCTATTTTATTAACTTTGTCGTTTTCCTACTGATAAGTAATATGTTTATTATATATATATATGTGTGTGTGTGTGTGTATATATATATATTTGTATATTTATTATGCACGTGGGATAAATGGAAGATTATTCTAACATCAATAGCCCTTGATTGAGTTTCAACGGATGGATTGGAATTACTTATAAGTTTTGTTGAATGAACTATGTATGGCTTAATCCCTTTGTAAGGGTACGTAAACAGCCTAGAGTTACTAGGTGCAGCCACAGGATCAATTGTTGAAAATTTGTTCAGTTGGGTTTTATTGGAAACTGATTAAGTATTTACATTATTCTAAGGGTTGAGTTCAGTTTCAGAGGGTGGAATGTTTTATTTGATTTATGGAGGCCTGAGGCCATTCAAGTAATTCATCTATTGCATGCTGAACGATTGGGAATTGTTTTTCAATGATAATTGTATATTTACAGGCGAAAAGTTATTGGGAAACGAGCAATTTACAGGAGAGACTCTGCCAAATTTCCGGCAGAAGTCAAGCTTGAAAAAGAATTTTGAGACTGAGTTAGATGGGCATTTTGGTCAAGTGTGCCTGGTACCTGCCAGGTATCGAACACGCACAGGGTTCGGCTTAGATTCCAAAGTAGAATTTGGGTCGGGTCTTGTCAGTTTATGCCCCTTACCACAGAGAAAACGAGCCATTAGGAGCAATGCTAGATATATGCCTTAGAAGCCAATATAAAAATGGATAATTCTAAGGAAATAATATATATATATATAATAATCAAAGGGGCAAGAACGTTGCTTTAGATACATAACGTACACAAAATAACAAGTCCATAAATTAAGATATAAATGGAAAGTGGTCTAAAGAACTTAGATGCACGAGACCTTTCCATACATATAAATATCATATCCTAAAATGTTCATGGTCATAGGATCACCAATTGGACAATGGTGACCCATAAAGACTGGTACACATTATGTTTGCTCCATTGGGAGGATGACTAGTCTCAAGTCATTCATATAGAGACACTGAGACAGATGTGTAGGTGCTCTATAGAAGATGGAGTCCACTGAACTCAATCAACTCTGGAATTCTTGTATGGAAGTCTTACTCACAAGTGTCAAACAAAGAATTCTAAGTTGTGATAATGCAAGTTAAACCTTAGACCTAAGACATCACAGTTGTCTTGTATATATGTAGTTTCTCTTTAAGAGCATCATATGGTCATATCAAAATAATGTGACTTAAAGGTGTTCCTCAGGATTCTCAGTATGTACGCAAAGACAGGTGAATGTACGACAAGGAATCTCTGCTCTTAGTAAGAAGAGAGAATACTCCAAAGATATGATTCGTGAATCTTTGGCCAAAGTATCGGATGGAAATTGAAACAAGAACGTTTGCAATTTCATCAAATTGAATCATATAATCTACATATGTCATATTAGGAATTTTGACACAAGTTTACCAGATCCCGAGAATATGACATAGAGTATTGAATTAGAGTGATCGAATTGCATTGAAATCACAAACTGACTAGGTTCTCTAAATGAATTCTTTTCAGCTTGGGTAGCCATGACATACTGCTAGGTGTCACTCATGACTTGTGGAAGCCTTGTAAGGACTAATTATAATTAGCCTTCACCAATAGGGAGAATTGTATGGAGGGATAGAATTCACACTTGATTCAGAGTGAATCATTCATACCCACTGCCTCACTAATTAGAACCTATAAGATCACACACCGAAAAGGAATTGATTGGGAAAGAGAATGAATGATTTTGTGACTTGGTAAAAGGTCAATGTAAAAGTCAAAGGTCAAAGTCACTGCAGCAGTGGAAGTGCTCTTAAAACTACGAGCAGTGCAAAAGTTGGACTTTCATGAATAAGAAAATAATTTAATATCTTCTACCCCATCTTTCTAACTTTCTTTTTCTTCATTCTTTCTCTCTCTTTGAAAAATATATCCATCTCCTTCTAAGACATGGTAAGAGCATCTACAGTGGGAAGGTGTAAATTCAGAGGTGTAAAGCCACGTTTACATCTCCTTTACACCTCCGGGAGATGCATATTGAAAGATGTAAAATATTAATTCATTTTTTGTATTCAATTTTTTTATGTTAATTTTTTGTGTTAATTTTTTGTGTGTTGGGTTTAATTATTTTTTCTAAACAAATCAATGTAATTTTTTTAAAATTCCGATAAGATATAATTTCATTCAATATGATGTAAATAAAATTAATATGAACCATCGGCTTTGATATGAATTTATTCTTCACCATTAATTAGTGTAGTTTTTAGTTTCATATTTCAATTTGAATGAAATCTGGCCATACATTAGAGAGTTTTTGGAGAAGAACTTAGTACATTTGCATCATTTTTAATAACTTCCCCGTATTAATAAATCTCAACCACGCCCTAGACCCACCATTTTAATAATTTCCCCATCTTTTAGGTAGATTTCCTCTCTCCTCTCTCTTGGCTTTTCTGCTACGAGACCCACTTGGCTGGGTATAAAATTAAGAAATATTTATTCATATATTCATTCTTATCACTAAAACTATAAATAAATCATACACCATTTAATTTCTACAAACAAACCTAAAAAATAACAGCTGACCCTATTGAATTTAATTTTAATTATTAAATTACTTTGATGCCCCCATTGAGTGTTTTGGGCTTTTTTTATGAGGTTTTTGGGTTGGGTTTGTTTTAAGAAATCAATGGCAGTTTTGTAATTTAAAAGAAGTTATAAGCCTTTTTGTTATATTGTAAATGAGCTTTGGGTGTATTTCTAAAGTCCATTTCATATAGGGTTTTTAAATAATAATAATAATAATAATAATATTTTGGGCTCCTATATTGGGTATTATAGTGAATCTCCCTAAAATTAAATGTACATTTGCATCTTTTTTCCCATCTCATGAATGTGATGTACATTTACAACCGTATATACCTCCCCATTGCAGGACATTCCGACAACCAAATGTATTATTTGACATACATCTCCATATACACCTTACCATTGTGGATACTCTAAGAAAACTCATCATGCCATCCATGAACAGTTCGAGGTAAAGGCTAAACTAAAGATGAAATGTCTTGCTTGGTTATGTGAAAAAACAAAAAAACAACTGAAGGATTCATGCGTCCCGTGATTATTCCCATGGGTCATGACTCGAAAGCAAAGTGTGGTGTCCGAATTTCATGGCCGGAGAATGAATTTGGAGAAAGAAAAAAAATGTCAGAAAGATGGTATCGCAAATACAAGAAACTATTAAATTATTTTTTATTCATTAAAGTCTAACTTTTGTGCCCATGGTTTTGAAGGGGCATCAGTAAAAGTTATTAGTTTAAGGCTTATTTTTTGTTATACTCCTGAAAGTGGATTTCAATCACACTTTGCCCCCTGAAATTCATTTCGTCTCATTTTACCCTATATTTCACACAAACTTGTCTCACTTCACCCCTTTTTCATAAAATATTAATTAAAAATTTCAATTTCAATTTTAAAACTTAAAATTCATAAATAAAAAATTGTAAACAAAATTAATATTTTAGAAAAAAATAAGATTAAAACAAAACAAAAACTACATCCTTACCCCTACCCCTCCACCTCCCCATCTGTCTCCCCCTACCCCTCCCTCTCTGGCCCCATCCTCCACTTCTCTCTTTCTATGTTACCCACAACCCAAACCTCAGCCTCGCATTCCCTGCCCACTCTATGCCTCTCTCTCTCTCTCTCTCTCTCTCTCTGCTCCTAAAAGTCTCAGTCAAGTCTCATTTTTCTTAGGAGTAAAGGGAGACGAATCCCTAAAAATCAAAATTTTAGTAAAAATTGACCTAACTACCGTATTTCTAGCTTAGAGAAAATCAAGATTTTGTTTTTATTTTTTGTGTTATTTTGAGAAAAATGATTCCTTGTATTGAAGAAAGGGAAAAATAGATTAGAACTCAAAATTACAAACAAAAAAAAATTAATAAAAAAAATAAAAAGCGACAAAGAATCAAAAGAGAGGCACCTAGTGGCAATGGGAGTGGCAAATTTTTGTTTTGTTTTAATCTTATTTTTTCCAAAATATTAATTTTCTTTACAATTCTTTTATGGATTTTAAGTTTTAAAATTTCAATTTCAATTTTTAATTAAATTTTTATAAAAAATGGGGTAAAATGAGACAAGTTTGTGTGAAATATAGGGTAAAGAGAGACAAAATGTGTTTTAGGGAGCAAAATGAGACTTGAATACACTTTCAGGGGGTATATCAAAAGATAAGCCTTAGTTTAATAATATAAGAAATATGTTGTACTGTTAGATGCATCTGACTATCCAGCTTTGATGTTTGCACTTTAATTAAAATCCAATCATCCTGATGTGAGTAATACTATATATACCTAATTATTAGGAAAATATGAAATAATATACGTGACTATTAAGTAATATGAGATAATGTATCTGACATATAGGTATTATTTTTGTTTATACCATATCTGACCAAGTAACTAGAAGCAAATCTGAGCAAAGCGAAGAGTCTCACATTGAAATATTACAAGATGTGTAGACTCCCCTCAATAGGAATGGATCTCTGGGCTGGGCTTTATCTTTAGTCATGGGCTTCTCCCTTCTTCTCTTAAAATTTGGGAGCCCAACCCGTTGTACAAATGTAAATACACATTATTATGAGAATGAGAATATACTCCTCTGTGGACGTAGCCCATTCATTAAGGGTGAACCACGTATATCTTGTCTTCTGTATATTTATCGCTTGTCCTAATCCTCACACACTTGGTGAAGGTCTTCCCCTTCACCCATCATCTATCTCACTTTATCACTAAGTTGGGCTCAAAAGTGCCGAACCATTTTTGAGTGTCAACAATTTTCAATTTACATGATAAACAGGTGGTATGCGATATTTCATCATTACAACCAACAAGCCATAATGAAGGCAACAACAAAGACATAGGGAAAATGAGGAAAATTAGAAGATAATTGTCCATGCAGAAATAAGCGAATCCAAAATGATGTGGGGAAGAAAGCTATAACAACCTATGTTAGTGGTTAATTGCATTGGTAAAGGTGGGAAAGAACATTAGACCGTATGAACTTCAAGCAAGAAAAACATGAAAAGGAAAAGTGAACTCAACGGAAAAAAAGAAAGACAAAATCAAACCTAACAACAAATAAAAACAATGTTAGCATATGAGTGAGGAATTGTATTATCAAAGAAGAAAACAAACAAACAAAATTAATTGACACCAAAATAATGTACCTTGTGTACAGGTTACAATCTTAATAACCCAAAGCCAAAAAAAGGCCAACGAGTTTTTTGGGTTAAAGAAAAAAAAAGGGACATCGTTATATAGGCCTCCTCTTAATTCAAAACGATCATAGAATGCTATTAATTTGATCATGAATGCAATTAATTGAATGGAAAAACTAAAAAAAGAAACAAACAATGAATTATACAAAATCATTATAGTCATAAGCAATTCTTTCTCGTTTTCAACCAAAAGGGTAATATGGGAACAAAATAATAATAATTTCTAGTCAGCCTACTACAAAAGGAATGTAATCGTATGTGGCAAAGTAGTAAGTGTAAGTGTACATATTTTCAATTTCAACAATTAAGTACTCGTATTTAAAAAAAATATTAAAATGTGGTTCTACCCTGAGGTTGAAGACGAGGGAATCTGTTAATTGATGGCATGGAAGACATGGAGCTTTTATTTTTTAATGCAAATAAAATATTGATAACAAATTTAATTATTAAATATGACAAATGAAAAAAAATTAAAGAATTTAGCTATTTACATACCACCCAAACTTTGCTTTTGGCGCTAATCTCACCAGTCTGATTTCTCATACGCCAAAAGGCTACTGAGAATAGCATATCACTATTGCCGAATTTTTCTTTTTAATAATAGGACCCATGTGATAGGGGGGACATATTGGCCCGAAATTTAGATAGGGCAGCCCGACCTAACCCATTTTACATGCTTATAATGGATAGATGGAAAGTATCGGATCAATGATATTTTTGCGAAAAATCAACCAATAACTTGAAAAAGAGCATGATAAAATAGGTGGTATAACGTCAACAGAAATATATATATATATATATATATATATATACACACACAAACATATATATATATATGTATATTAGGAGAGAGAAGAATCGAACCTGGACTTTGGGTGCATAAGTAAATGTTCTTAACGAATTGAGCTACAAGTTCTTTACTATTGCCAACATATAGCATTATAAAAAATAAAAAATAAACTCCCCAGACATTAAAAAAACAAATCTCCAATAATTTGGAAATTTAACACTGCAGCGAAGCTCAATGGCAATCTCTGTGTTCGAGAGGAGAGAGGTCATCAACAGAATGGAGTAAGGGGACCATGAATAATTCTTCTGAAGCTGAGAAGCAAAATGGGTGTTCATCATATGATCAATTTTTACGACAGCAGCAATGCAAACAGACCAGGAAATCAGGAATGAACAAACGAAGGAAATGAGGGTTAGAAGACTAACAGAAATCTGGGATAAACAATAACAATCATTGCACAACTATATACGTAGAAAATAAGAAATCATATTATGTCTTATCAATCTGTTTTTTTTTCTTGCACTAAAATAGATTCAATGGCTGAAGTTACATTCGTTTATCCATTCTTCTGAGAAGGAGACAACCGATGTTTTGACCACTCTTCTAGAGCCCTGCGGTGTAGAGCATTCATCCTTATGTAAGGACGCTTTTCTCGAATTAATTTCTCAGCGTTTTTCCAATCCTCTGCCACCCCAAGAGCAACTAATAGTGCACACATTACAGCCACACTTCTTCCATGACCTAAAACAGACAACATAAAAGAGAATTGCTAATTACAACTCACTACCATCAGCCATCAAACATTGTTTAAGAGAAAGCAAACACATAAGAATTTGTTATGAGAAATATAAATGATTCTCCAAGAAAAGAATCTTCAAACTCCACTTGGAGAATGGGTGTTTGCATAAATTTTACTAGGGTTCCATTTGGATTTGTGTATTTAAATCAAAGGACTTAGATATAACAATTTAAAGCATTTGCATAAAATATTATAAGAACATAAAAAGACAGTTCTGATACTGTTAGTTATGGATGGACAAGAAAAATTCAAAATGATTTCAGTTCATCTGGGGGAAATGGATTTAGATTGATTGGAATCCAGAAAAACCAATCCAGTTTGCAGAATTTCTTTTTCTTATTGATTCCTTGGGGAACATGGAAGCGTCCTGACTGCAAAAAACTCTATAACCAGACAGTTAGGGATTACAGTCTAAAGGATTATATGTAGGGACGAGCCCTCAAAATCACCCCAAATCTCTAACCTCGGCATCTTTAGCATGTTTGGCAATGGCTGATCCAAATACTAGAAATCTGGGAAGCTCCATCTTGTTCGATTTTTTCTAGCCAATTCAATCTCAAATCTCAGTCTAATTGCATCATTTCCAGTATTACTATACTAGAATAACCAGGTTATATAACCCATATCTTAATGAAACAAGACCTCACCAAGAAGCTGAAAAAATAAAAAGCTGTTCGTGTGTTTGTTAGTGTGTTTACAAGCTAAAAATTTGAATAGTCCTCTGCCCATATCAGGGTATATTCAATTCATTATACTCACAATTACATGCTTAAGAGTACAAAAATTACATTTAATATAGGCTATTAAGAGACTCTTGTATTCAGTTTTTGTTGATGAATATAATTTCAGACTTAAGTCTATAGAGTTTCTAATGGGAGTTTTCCCTAGAACTCAATTATCTTCGTTCCTTCTTCTAATTCATTGCTTTATCCTTCTATTCCCTGTATTTTGGGTATGTTTGGGTCACTGACCAGCAGCTGCCCTGCATCATGTACTGCAGAACCAAAAGTTGTGGCAACATTTTTTCCGAAAAGAAATGACTGGGCAAGGTCGTATCTCTCTTCAAAGAGTGACAGTCACAATAGTTTCAAGGGAAATTATAATTAAAAAAGTATACGATATGATATGCCCGTTAAGTTTTCTTTTTTACATTTTTTTTAAAAAGATAATACATAAGTTCATAGTGCCGAGCATTTCAAAGATGTATCGAGAACCCAAAGCAGTGTGAATCATTTCACCCTCTTTTTGAACAGGGGTGGATTATAATACTTCCGTTGTATAAATATTTTCGTTTTATGTTGCATGAACATTTCAAGGGAATTTAAATTTCACATAGCTGGTACAGAGGTGGAACTTATGCTATTAGAATGGCATCAGGTTTGGGGAGGGAAGTGAGGAAGTGGTAAACAATGGAGGATAGAGTTTTTTTAACTTTTTCTTCTTTCTTTGGGCAAAGAAACATAATTTTATTAAAGAAGGAAAGATAATTACCAAGAGGTAACAGAGGGAGGTTGCTTAGGTTGGAAACTTAGTGGCTTGAGTTTGGATAGGTAGAATGAGGTACCAGAGGGAGCAAGGAGCAAGAAGAGGGTTTCTAGCTCAACGACAGTAATAAGGGTGCTAATTAGAAACTTTATCGTGGTATGAGAGCAGGAGATCCTGAGTCTGAATCCCTGCAATTGCATCGTTCCTATATAAGTTTGAGTCCGCATAGTGATCTCAGACAGTGGAGACAGACCCATATGTGAGGGGCCATTAGAGAATATACAAGCTTAAGCTTTTTGGTAAAGTGGTAAACCAACAAACTTTGTCAATGCTGTTACAAATGTTTTGTATTAGGTGCAAGTTTCCAACCTCAGTAACCTTCCATGGAAATTAAGGAATATCAGATAAAGCTGTCGAGGAGAGGAAGTCTGGGGGTTCAGGATAATATGCCTAATAAAGTTCAGATGATTAAACAAAGCCCTGGTAAGTTCTCTACGAATGTCCTTCCAATTCTATGGAGGAAGAGATTGCTAGGAAAGGGCACGAACCATCAAACATAGTTTTGGGTGAGGGGCTGTGTCCTTTGGCAGTGGAAGAAGATACCAACAGAAACAATTTTCCAAATTGGAAGGTTAAGATGCAGGGCCATTCTTTTCTCATGATAATCAACACTGATATGGACCTAAACAATGAGGACTATGATTATGAGGCCCCACTCGGAAATATGCCATGATTGAAGCATAAGATTCCTTGTCTTTACCCTGTTGGTTTTCCTTTGTTTTTGTTTTCTTCTTTAGGAACAAAGTTTGCAGGAATGTGCAGGGTGCTGTGCAGGCAGTAAACGCTCCTGGCCTCTTGTAGAGAGGTGATCAAGTACTATGAAATGGAGGTGTTTGCTATTTTTGAACCTTGGATAAGTAAGGATAAAACTGGTACAATGATCAACAAGTTGGAATTTCCCAAAGATCAAGCAAAGGATGCCAGTGGTTTTGCAAGAGGTATTTGGATATTATGGGAAGTCAGAAGAGTATCTACTAAGATCATGACTACTAATGAACATGTCATCACAGCAAGCACTGCTTCCGCAGTGGTAAGAACTGGCTTTTTGTGTTGCACATGATAGCCCTGGCCTACTTAAAGAACTGGGCTGTGGAAGTTCCTTGTTGAGGCTTCTGAGAGCCATTCATTGTTTTAGGTGCTGGCTGGATACTTTTAATGGAATTCATTTTAGCAGTGAGAACAATGGGGTGTGTCCGCAAGCACAATGAAAGGTTTTAGGCAATGGATTGATAGGGAGCCTATCATTATTTTGGATTCACAGGACCCAAGTTCAGAAGGTCCAAAGGCTGAGAAACTGGAAGAGTTGTTACGGTGATGATTGATACAGGGTGGAAGAGTTGTTACGGATATGGGTATGCAATGGGGTTTATATCAGACATTGTCAGAACCTGTTCAAAACTATGTCAAATTATTGTCCTCCTATGTCTCTCTTGGAGTCAGATAAGATTCCTAATTATTTTAGGTTTTAGCTACTTGAATGAAACATGAGAACCTTGGTATATTGGTGGATGACTGCTGTCCTAAGTGTTGGGATGTTGGGCTCAATGAAGCTTAAGAGTCCATTGAGAAAGAGGTGTTGAGTAATTTGTCTCACAAAAAGAGAAGGTTGTGAAGGAATTCAAAAAGCTTTGTGCATAAACTATTCCCCGTTTCTTATCTTGCAGGAGCAGTGGTTGATCAGAAGACAAGAAATTCTTGGCTGAATGAAGGTGACTGAAACGATAAGACAGTGTCCTCAGGGCTTAATTCTAAGGCCAACTTATATGTGCATTGCAACACTTCTTATATAATACATCTCATCATCAGCATGATATATTAACAAAAATGAACTCATTTTGCAGCATACCGTACGCACAGTGGACCAAAACAGGCCTTTTCTGGTCCCTCTTTCGACAAGCCCATTTGACAGCGGATTCAATGGCGGCCGGCTGAGGAGCCCTTGTGTCCCATGTCGGGACACACAAATAAGAATGCCCTGAAAACTCCGGCCTTCTTGGCAACTCACAGGTGCAATCAACAATGGCAGGGTCATCTGGTGGCAGTTTATCGGGGGAAGAAGGCCATCCGCCGACATACAAACCCTCGCAGATTTCACTATAAGGAGCCTCTCCACTGAGCAATCTTCGCAATGCCGAGAAGAATCGGACAAAATACAAATATGGGCTGAACATAATGATTGACCAAATTGGGAAACTCCCATCTGGGTTCTTGCCCAACAGCATGGGAAGGTCTATGGATGGGTGAGAAGCTAAGGAAACCAACATGGATACCAAAGAGGCATACAAAAAATGGAATTGATAGCAGAGTGAAACCTAACCTTCTCAGGTTTGCGAAGAAGACGAAGAGCACTGCTGCTTTCAACCCTATCAGAACTGATAGGCCGACACCCATCTTTGCTCTACCCAAAACTCACCCCAACACTGTTTCTTGGTTTTTTTTTCTTAAGAAATTGTGCCAAAGCCCAGAAAACGAAAATCAGAAATTAAGAAACACACACCAAGATCCTCAGAGAGAATGAATGAACCCAGTTTGGGAAAAAGGACCAATAAAACATCTTTCTTTTTTTTAAGGACAAATTACATAAAATCCTAGAGTCATTTTCAAGTTCATATCCAATTTTAGAGATATTTATAAGTGCATACCCAAACTTCCAGAAATCCTACAAATTGCCCCTCTCCGTTACCTAAACCGCTAGTGAGTTTGTTAAATGCTGATGTGTCAAAAGTGAGACCTATTTTTTAATGACGTGAACTTCCACGAGGACAAAAAATTAATAATAAATTATTTTAAAATTATTTTAAAAATCTCTCTCTCTCTCTCTCTCTCTGTGAACCCAGAACTATCCTAGCCTGCAATGAACCCAGAACTCTCTCTCAGAACCTAGAACCATCCTAGCCTGCAACAAAACCAGAAACATCCCAGCCATAACCCCACCCCCATCTCCAACCATCATCGCCGCAACTCACGAACCCAACGCCTCAGCAACCCCAGCCCACACCACAATCCACAAACCCCAACCACCCCACAAACTGTTTGGGCCTAATAAAACCATCCACCCCCCATCCCATGGCGCAACCCCCCCCCCCACAACACCAAAAAAAAAAACACAAAACAAAAAAAAAAAAATAAGATGCCTTGACTCCAGAAAGCAGCCCAAATCAATATTAGAGGCCCATGTCTTTTGCAAAGAGTGGCAGAGGTTTAAAAAATACAAATAAATAAATCAATTAAAATACCAATTAAATGGTAATTCGTCACCAAGCAGGTCGATAAACTTCTAAGAAATTGGATTAGGCTCAGCTTCTAAAGAATTCTCGCCATTTGATCTCAAAAGCAAGTCAGGAGATCTTTTCTTACAAAAAATGATTTTTTTAGAAGAGCTCCACATGACTACCTGACTTTGAAAAGTCAAAAATTTCAACTATCACAAGGGAGTTGACAGAGAGTTAATGAAGGCAGGTATAAAAGGAAGACTTATTTGAATCTTTGCAGCCAAAAGATCAAAATCCTTTTCTATATACAGAGAAATTCTGCACCAGAGCAGGTGTCATTTCCAAGGGATAAGCAAACTATATTTTCTAAAGGGAGTAGGGAGCAGAGAGTTGTTCATTAGGAAAAGCAAACTAACCATCATGGTAGATTGCATTCTTACAAAGGGCGGTTAAAGAGTAAGAAAGGATTAGGTTTTCTTTCAGGAAAAGCAGAGAAATGATCACCATAAGAACTGACTGTTGATAGCTTTTCTGCCAGAATAGATAACTTCCCCTTTTTATGGCATTTAAAAAGAAAGATCTTTTGAAATTATTTGCCGCCCATTATTTAAAGATTAAAAAACCCCACTCCAGCATTTTCTATAAATATGAGAGGAGGTGAACAGATCAAGGGATAGCCAAAAAAGCAATCAAGACAAAAACTCTCAAAGTTACAATTGAAAAACTCAAAACAATCCATTTGATCTCAAAAGCCTTCAAACACTGAAGCAACCAAAGCTCATTGAGCCACACGAAACAAGTCAGCTAGAATTCAAGTTTTTTCTAGTTAGCTCAGAGAAACAGTTTTACAAAGCGAGATTTCTCTCGTTACAAATTTGGTTCAGCACAAAGCCAAGTCAGTAGAGTCCGGGTCTTTACAAATATGAAAATTTCAACAAATTTATAGAAAGCCTTGGTCAAGCAGAACAGGCACCATAGAGCAGCTCCAGCTCAGTGATCATCAATCTAGCTACTTTTGCCCTCTTCAGATTGAAGAGGCCTTAATTCTACCCGTTCCGCAAGCCTTCCATGACCTGAAATAAATTAAAGCTCTGCCAAACTCAAACGTTGGTATCGATTTTCAACTGAAACTCATCAGTTGAAGGCGTTGACGATCCAATCCAGCACATACACATCCAATTCAGCCCAGTTTAGAGGCAGTTATCCAGGCAGAAATCGAAGTCCAACGTCTTGTTGTCTTGTTTCAGAGTTGTCATTTTTTTTTTGAGTCCTGTAACAGGCAGTTCTACCTAAAACAGTTTACTTTCTTTTTGTCTTTTCTGACCAGAACTACCCATTTTGTACTGTGAAAAATTATGAAGTCCTCACCAATCTAAGACAAGAAAAGAACTTACTTAGAAGATATTCCTCACCCAAATTCACAATTGCTAGTTTGGAAATCAATAACTTGGGACACAAATTATCTATTTTTAAGAAGTCTGCTAGGGTTTTTATTGCTAGCAGTGGCACGCTTATATATAAAAGAAAGTTGACTTGTTGACCACTAATGGTTTTCAAGCTAACGGGGAACTTTATCCTACCTTCATAGGATCAAAATCAAAACGGGTGAACAATTTGGCACGCCCAGTAGGACTTCTCAGTACACATACTCCTAGAAAAATCTTCTAGTATATGAATATTGGAAGTTCTAACCAGAATCCACGTTGTGCCATGGAAAGAGATCAAGCAACTCTCCAAGAGGGACTTGAATCAGAAGAAAGTGATGCTAGGCACTCAACCCATGGCAATACCAGGAGTAGACGTTCCAAGTCTGGTTCTAGAAGGTTAAACTAGATACAGAAGGTTGTGCTCCGGGAAGAGGCCACAACACAAAGGAGTCAGGATATTCTAAATAACATGATAGCCATGATGCAGTGGCAAGTCAACAGGTAGTTTAGGAAGGACCGTGAGGCAGTTCAGGAAAGACCGTGAGCCAGGATACTCTAGATCTCCCTTTTGAACCTCCACCAGGACTGGCATGGCCATACCAAGAGAATCCTCTCATCGCACAGATAGCTGGAATGCTAGGACATGGAGAAATCCAAGCTGGACAGAGGGGAAGAGCCCTTCCCGTCCAAGAACACAAGGCTCCAGTTCATCCAGAAGGACATGCACCAGTTCAAGCCCCCCAGAACCAGCCAGAACCTCCACATATTCCAAGACCAGTAGTCCTATGCGATTAGCCCTTGGCACTTCTACCTGAGCAACCAGCTGTGTTGCCCTACATACCTAGAAGGATGGCCCCCAATCCATTCCCTCCATTAGCAAGGGGCATGAGAGGTAGAGGGGGAATAAACCCTTTTGCTAACAATGATAGGAACAGACCGGGGGCAAACTAGAGGAATCATCCAGATTTCGAAGAAGAGAAAGAACATAGAAAGGAAGTTCTACCTAGACCATATAGAGTGGAACAGAGGATTGAACCCAACCAGCCAGAACAACAGGGGCAAAATCCGCATCCTATTAATGCCTTGAATGACATGAGAGCACTACAGAGGATGATAAGAGAGATGATGGAACCTGAGGCCAGAATAAGAGAAAGGCCCACCTATAGAAAGCCATCTCTAGCTTATATGATCAAATACCTCTATCCCCGTGCTTTAATGTACCAAACTTCACCTTGTTCAACGGAGAGGATACCCATGCTTCATCAGTTGAGCATATAGGCAGATTCACTGTCCAGTGCATGAAATAACCCTCTGCTAAAACTAAGGCTATTTGGAAATTCTCTATTTGGACAAGCCTTCACCTGGTATACTAGCTTACCAACCAATTCTGTTTAAACTTGGGAACATATGGAAAATGTCTTCCACGACTATTATTTCAGGATTCAGCCAGAAGTCACCATCAGTGATCTTGCTGCCCTCAAACAAAGTGAAGATGAGCCTACCTAAGACTTCATAACCAGGTTTAGAAAGCTCAAAATGCAATGCCGAATTCCTATGGAAGAAAGACACTTCATCCAGATGGCTCAAACTGCCCTTAAGATCTCTCTAAGGAAGAGGTTTGATGGGATGCTATTTGGAGACCTGGCAGAACTGGTAAACAAAGCATCTAAATACGAGAAGCTGCTCAGGGAAGAACAATAGAAAAGGAACTCCTCAAAAGGCACATATTCCAAAACCCCATCTTCTTCAATACATCTAATCAAAGTGGAGTCAGAAGAAGGCATAGAAAGCTGGAGGAAAGGGAAGTTGCAATGGCAAAAATGGCGAAATTAAAACATCCCATCAGTTGCAAGGCTCTGACAAAGCCACCATTTTTTACAGGAGGGTTTTTTCCAAACAAACCAGCACATAACAAAGTTTATTCCTTCGATTTAAGCAAGGTTGATGCTCTGTTTGATGAGATACTACTGCATAAGGCAATAGAGACACCTCATAGGTTGCCTAAGTCAGAGGAACTCAAGGGCAGACAGTATTGCGGATGACACAACTCTTGGAACCATTTCACCAATAGTTGTGTTGTTTTCAGGGATGTCATACAAGAAGGAATAACAACAGGAAGGCTAAAACTGGCTGAGAAACCTCCCTTACTAACAACAGACCCTTTTCCCCAACCTCAAGTCAACATAGTTAACTTAAATTGGCCAGAATAGAAGAGAGACAAACTAACAACAGAAGCTAGCCCCAACATAGGCAGAAGAGTCACAAGAGAGGCTAATCAGATACCAAAGGCAACTATTTCATCAGGGGTAGTTCTGTGCAGCAAGTGTAAATGCGAAAGTGAGTTGGAGGTAACTTTGGATGGGCAAAGTCAGCCCACAGCTAGTGTTTTTGACAGGGTTGGAACATCAAACCAACAGGGCCCAGTTCCAGCTCCACCTAGAGGTATAGCCAGGCGGAAGGCCTATCAAAGGCCTGCCCAATGCAACAGAAAAATGACAGAGTAGTCAAAGAAGGAGATACTAGTTAAGATGCCCGGAAATGATAAGCCCTTGGCAACTATCATAGAAGGCAGATGATATTCTATTGGAAAGAGTGACACACCAACTATGGAGCTAACCAGAACATAAAAAAGTAGAGTTCAGAGGCAATACTGCACCTTCCTCAAGAACAAGGATAATATACAGGTACTTACAGAGGTTAGTTCTACTAAAAAAGGGAAAAATCTAAAAGTAGATTCTCTGGTAGAACAAGCAACATATCAACTAGAGGAGCTAACAAAGACAGAGGTTCCAAGCAAGCTTGCTATCCATCCAACCTCACCCTCAATCAATCAGTTAGAGCCTTCATAGTCACAAAGTCAATCCGGACCTACTCCAGTAGAAGGACAAGAAGGTTGGATTGAAGAATATGAAGAGGAATAGTTGGATTACGAACCATCTGCAGATGACCAGCCTGGACTCCTCGAAACAGGTGAGCAAGAAGACTGAATAGAAGAATATGGAGAAGAACAGATGGAGTACGATGGAGAACTAGATGAAGAAACTGAAGGTTTCGGTGCAAATTAGAAAGTCTATTATAAGGTGATCTAGGCATTAATATGGTGTTTGTCCTACTAGAGAAATTCAGAGCAGTAGAAGGACAAGAGAACACTTTGGAAGGGGATGTACTATCACAAGAGACCTTCGAGTGCAAGTTGGCAGAAGTGGAGGAGACACCAAAACAGCAAATATCTGCTGACAGAACAGGTAGAACTGCCACAAACATGGTCGCAAAACAGATGTGTTTTTCCAAACCTACCAAGGAATTGGCCAACCACCTCAGACCTTTGTTCATCACTGCGAACTTTGGGGGTATTCCTATCCCTAAAGTGATGGTAGATGGAGGTGCAGCCGTTAATCTTCTACCTTACAGGTTGCTGATCAAGATGGGCAGAACAGAGAAGGATCTAATTCCAACACGCTTAACGGTCACCAATTTCTCTAGAGGCATCACTAAGACTCATGGAATACTAGACGTGGATGTCAAAGTAGGAACCAAGAAGCTGAAGATTGCCTTTTTGTGGTAGACACCACTTCTACCACTTACAATGCACTGCTTAGCAGAGATTGAATCCTCCAGAGTCTATGTGTTCCTTCCACTCTACACCAGCAGTTGGCCCTCTAGCATGAAGAGGGTTTTATGAAAATAGTGGAGGCCGTCCCACTGCCATTCCTGCCATTTGCATTATGTTTTGAGGCCATATTATCATGATGACCTTAGTCTTTTCACTTTCTTTGGAGTCAACCAGAATGGTCGTACCCATGGTGTCACGGCCCAGAAACTCATTGAAGAAGGTCTGGCTAGTTCTTTAGAGGGCTGGAATAGGCCCTGCATTCTCAACCTCCAAAGTTCTGATGTTTAGCTCAAACCAACAAGAGAGGGATCGAGCTGCAATAATCCGATCCATTACAAATAGATTGTTGCTATATGCATAGTCCAGCCATTAACATGGCAGAATTCATGCATGAGGGTATAGAAGAACAGGAAGGAAATCTGCAAGAGGAAGAATTGGAATTTGCACTAGCAGCACTGGATGACTCTCTGCCAGAAGTATAGGATCCTTTGCAAGAAATAAACTTGGGGACAAAAGAGGACCCCAAACCTACTTTCATCAACACATTACTAGAAGAGTCATTGAAGGATGAAATCATTGCACTTCTACATGATTTCAAAGACTATTTCACATAACATTATCATGAAATGCCTGGACTGGATAGAGGATTGGTGGAGCACAAATTACCAATAAAAGAAGGTTACCTACCAGTCAAGAAGGATGTCTATGGAGATAGAACTGAAAGTGAAAGAAAGAGATAGAAAGACTGGTTTAAAGGCAGGTTTTATCAGGCCAACTATTTATTGTACCAATTAAAAAAAAAAAAAAAATCTACGTGGACTACAGAAATCTGAATGAAGCATCTCCCAAAGACAAGTATCTAATGCCCATGGCAGACATGCTGGTGGACGGAGTTGCCCACAATCAGATGCTATCATTCATCGATGGCAATGCAGGGTACAATCAAATAATGGTGGCAAAAGAAGACATCCACAAGACAGCCTTCATGTGTCCAGGGCATATAGGTGCTTTGGAATACACTGTAATTCCTTTTGGCTTGAGAAATGCAAGAGCCACTTACTAAAGAGCAATGAATTCTGTTTTCCATGACATGACAGGTCATTCTCTAGAGGTTTATATAGATGATGTGGTGATTAAATCCCCAGAAAAGTGAGATCATGTATCAAATCTAAAACAGGCATTCCTAAGAATGAGACAACACAAGTTGAAAATGAATCCCAAGAAGTTCGTTTTTGGGTTCAAGCCAACAATTTCTTAGGTTTCTTGGTCCACCAAAGAGGAATAGAAATCGACAAGAACAAAGCAAAGTCTATCATGGAAGCTTTGCCACCTCGGCACAAGAAAAAATTGCAGAGTCTCCTAGGAAAGATCAAATTTCTAAGAAGATTTATATTCAATTCTACAGGAAAAATCTAGCATTTCTCCTTCTTATTAGGATTAAAGCAGGAATAGATATTTAAATGGGAAGAACAGCACCAGCAGGCTTTTGAGGAAATCAAATACTACCTCTCAAATCCGCTAGTTCTGTCCCCACCAAAGAAAGGCAGACCACTCAAGTTATATGTTTCTGCATCAGAAGTATCCACTGGGAGTCTTTTAGTCCATGATAACAAGGAAAGGAAGGAACATGCAGTCTATTACCTGAGCAAAACTCTAACAGAAGTAGAAAGGAAATATCATGCAATTGAAAGACTTTGTTTGGCTTTATACTTTACTACTGTAAAATTCATACATTAGATGCTACCTTTCACCACCTACATCATTGCCAAGACAGATCCGATCAAGTACATGCTAATAAGGCCAATGTTGAGAGGAAGAATTGGTAAATGGACTCTGGCCCTGTCAGAATTTGCCTTCAGATATGTTCCTCAGAAGTCCATCAAGGGACAAGCTGTTGTAGATTTCTTAGCAGATCATCTAGGAGAAGAAATTAAGAATATGGATTCCATGGACATAGCCAATGCAAATCTGTTAACCAGAGCTCACACCTGTCTCAATAATCCCATTTACTCAATCCATCTCACCCCCTGGAAGCTATATTTTGATGGATCTAAAACAGACTTGGCCTCGGGGGCAGGGATTGTTTTAGAAGACCCACTAGGAATCAAACATTGTTATTCATTTCAGCTAGATTTCCAGTGCACCAACAACAAAGCAGAATACGAAGCTTTAATCATAGGACTAGAAATGTTGGTAGAACTAGGAATCCAATCTGTCGAAATTCTGGGAGATTCCATGCTTGTACTAAAACAGGTTGCTAGAGAATACAAATGTTTGAGCCCCTCTTAGCTGTCTATCTAGTAGCAGCCAGAAATCTCTTAGCAGAATTCTGGGAAGCCACTTGGGAACACATTCCAAGAGAAGAAAACTTTGCAGCTAATGAGATGGCTTAGATAGCAACATGAGTATAAATGACTGAAGACTGTGTACAGAGAATCATCAAGGTGGGAAAGAAAATTCTGCCATCGGTTCTGACTAGAGGGATAGAGATAGATGTCAATTATACCATAATGTGGAATGAAGAGTTGGTAGGCAAAAGCAAAGATGAGCTACTTTTGAGATGCTTAGGAAAAGAAGAACACATGAAAGTCATAGGAGAAGTCCATGATGAGAAAAATGTGTTGGTTGATCAGAAGGTATGGTTACTTTTGGTCTACCATGATGAAGGACTGCATAGAATATTCCAAGGGATGTGAAGCTTGTCAAAGGCATGGTCCAATCCAGCAGGCTCCCTCAATCCCCATGAACCCAGTCATCAAGCCATGGCCATTCAGAGGATGGGCAATGGACCTCATTGGCAAGATTTATCCAGCCAGTAGAAAACATCACTGTTTTATCATAGTGGCTACTGATTATTTCACCAAATGGGTGGAAACCAAGCCAGTCAAATCTACCACATCCCAAGAGATCATTACCTTCATAGAAGAACAGATTCTGCAAAGGTTTGGCATACCAGAATCAATCACCACTGACAGGGGAAGTTCCTCCATATCCAGAGAAACGCTAGACATGGCAGAAGCATTCAAGTTCAAATTACTTCAATCCACCCCTTATTATGCCCAGGCTAATGGGCAAGCAGAATCAAGCAACAAGGTGATTATCAACATTATCAGAAAAATGCTTGAAGAAAATCAGAGGCAATGACCGAAAAACTGTCAGAAACCTTATGGGCCTATAGAACTTCAAAAAGAGAAGCAACTGGCATGACTCCATATGCTTTGACTTATGGACATGATGCAATTCTGCCCATGGAAATCACAGTTTAGTCCATCAGAATTGCCTAACAACATAATTTGGTTGGAGAAGACTACTCACATGCAATGATGCTAAAATTAGAAGGGCTGGATACCAGCAAAATTGATACCTCAACAAACTCTTAGCAGGGAAGCAAGCTGTAGCAAGGGCCTATAACAAGAGAGTTAGAAACAAGAGTTTTGAAGAAGGAGAAGTTGTCTGGAAGGCAGTTCTACCCCTTGGAACACAGGTTGCTGGTTATGGAAAGTGGTCACCTACATGGGAAAGACCTTTCATAGTCAAGCAAGTCCTTGGATTGGGGGCATACAGGTTACAAGACCAAGATAGGGACATCTATGCAGTGCCAACCAATGGCAAATGGTTAAAGAAGTTCTATCCTACCATGTGGGATTCATAGGCAATACAAACAGATCCTGGGATCGAAGTAGAAAAGGATGAAATTATTGTTTAAGTGTTTGCAGTCAGTTCTTGTGAATATTTATTTTTTTCATTTTTGAAATTATGTTTTTGGTTGTTTAAAACAGAATGAAAGGACAAGTTTCACAAAATAAATAAGACCCTTTTATTAAATAGTCATCTTTACATGACTAGAACGCTATTACAAAAGTAGAAGTTTAAAGTCCTAATTTTCTAAGGGCCTCTTGCAATCCAGTCTTTTTGGTAGAAATCTCCTTCTGGAGAAGCACTCCCTAGTGAATAGAAGCCTCTGCAATCTCTAATGCTGGCCTAGAAGCTGAGACCATGTTCTGCATGAGGAAGGTTGCCTTGGTCTTGGTGCCTAGTCCAGCCCCAAGCTTCTTCTGCCTCTCCCTTAACCTGGCCAGCTACTTCTGGAGTTCCTCGATATGTTTTTCTAGCTTGTCAGTAGTGAACTTGGTCTCCTTGTAATCAGCAACTAAAACATCCAATTCTGCCTTCTGTTTTTTATAATCAGCCAAGTTGGCTTCATGGGTAGCCTTGTAGAATTCAGAGGCATTAAAGGAGGGCTTGAGGTCTTCATAGCAGTTATGGAGGTTAAACACATCTCTTGCCAGACACAAGCTGATCTCAAGGATAGGCCTAGGAGCCATGTTCTCCCTGTGCACAGATCCAGGTCCTTCATCAATTGGTCGACATCTTCCTTATTCTCACCAAGTCCAGCTCAGTTGATTGCTAGATTCTCACTCTATCCACTGCCTCACCCACTACTTTGGACTTAGCTTTGCCAGGACTAGAGTTGAGTTTCTCTAGCTTGTCCAGCTGAGCATCCAGATCCATAGCTTCGAACTCTGCCAATTCTGGATTAGCAAAGGAGGTTGTGGTAAATGAACCTGGAACAGAATGGATGGGCATCTGCAAGAAAGAATTGCAATTAAGTTTCATGCAGAATTGGAACAAAAGAAGGGCTAAAGGCACAGTGATACTTACAGCCACAACATGAGGTTTGAAAGGGCTGGTCACCACAGCCAAAGTCCAAATAGTTTTCTCCTCTTCTACCTAGAAAAACAGGAACAACAATTAGAAGGATAAAGATAGACAGAATTGCAGAAACCAAACAGAATAAAGAAAGGACAGAAGTTACCTCAGGAATAGGGACATCAATGGATGATTTGCCTCTACTTCAGGCTCTAGAACAACAGCTGAATGTTCTGCCTCCACAGCATCAAATATAGCCAATTCGAACTAGTAGGTCCTGTCGTTTGAGCTTCTTGTGTTGCTTAGCCAGCGCAATGCTCTCTGCTATTATTTCAGCAGGGATCTCCTCCTACAAATAAACAGAAGTCAAGATTAGAAGAAAAACAAATACAAAATGGATCATGTTAAGGAATGAAAGACAGGATCTTACCTCATCTTCGACTTCTTTGCCTTTTCTCTTATCTCCTGTTGAGACGTCTACTTCCTTCTTCTGCCCTACAGCTTCAAAAGCTTCCCTCAGCTCTTCATCAGTCCTAGAAGTTTCAGTAGGAACTGCTGCGAGTTCTTCTATCTCCTCAGATTCCGCCATGGCTATTTTCCTAAGTCTTTTTGACCTAGTAGGAGGAGGATGGGGACTTTCGGCTACAAAGAACAAAGATAAAGGATTAGAACAAATGGACTGAACAGAACAGGGTCAAGGAAAGTCTCGTTGTTAAGATTACCTGAGGTTTCAGGCTGGACAGTCTCCTTTCTCTTGTTCCTTTTGGCAAAAAGAGTCACCTCAATAGTTGGCTGTTCTACCTGAGTTTCATGCTAATCTTCTTCGTCCCCAAAGGGGAGCTCTAAGTCTCCAGCAGCGATGACAGAAAGTAACTACACAGGAGAAGAAAGAGTTAGAAGGCAATCCAGCAGGAAAAAAGGGAGAAGAACATAATTCAAAAACTTACCAAACACTTCTCCAACCTAAACAGCTTGTCCCATAAGGTTCCTGTTAATTAAAGGATCTGATACAAACAGACAGAACAGATGAAAACATCAGCATCAGAACAGAATGCAATAATCATTGACAGAATGGAATAAAAGGGGTAGAATTGAAAGTTTACCTTCAATGACTTGGGCATTGATGTCTTTGATCGTCTGCATCATAAATTTCTTGGCCTCTGCCCCTGCGTGGACAATCCAAGAATCCCAGCCATCAAAAAGCACTTTTGTGGCAGAACTGGAATCTGGCAGACCAATGAACCTAGCATATGCACTGTTGTTTAAAGGGCATCTGCACTATTGTATATCTTATTCACTGCACACCTGCAATCCTTGTACAAGTCCAGATCATCTGTATCTCTCCAAGAGGTACCTCAATCATACCTTCTATAAGACCTCAAAGGAATAAGCTGGGGACAGCCAAGCTGCTTGGCACATAAGTTGGGGTGATAGACCTCTCCGCCTAAATGATAGTTAGGAGGCTTACCACCTCCAAAAGGCAGGTCCCGGAGCAGCATTACACTCAGGAACTTCTTCCTGAAGTCAATTCTAACCTCTTCATCCTCAGGTTCCTTCTCAAACAATCTGTACCCAGGCTAGAACCAAGGATAGGTTCTTATAAGTAGCACCTACCATTGAGTAGCAGACCTCTTAGTACAACGCCTAAAAAACATCATGTACTCTTCAATGGAGCACTTGGGTAGACATCAAGGGAAGCACCATGACCTGATCTTCAGACAGAACGATGTCTGGGAACCTCAATTCTAGGAAATAGACCTGTAGCCAGATCTGGATCATCCAGAATGTCCCAACAGATTCTCCAAGGTGGCATTATGAAGGTTCTTGTATAAATGGGCCGACTGTTGGACCAAGCCCCACGTCAGTATGGTTGTGTAGAGCCTCTGCTAGGTACTTTTATTCAAGCAGAACTGCTGAAGAGCGATTTGGGAAGACAAACTTATTCAGCCAGTACAGGAGAAATAGCATGTGATGTTAATCTCTATCCCTCTCTATGCTAAATTTCTTCAGATAGTTGGAGAAGGAGTAGTTCTGGTTGATTGTAGCGGGAGAGATAGTGAAGGACTTTGTCAATTTTTCCTAATTCTTCCATCTATGGTAGTCACCAACTACGTCAACATGCCTTCCATGAGGCCTAAACCCAAAGAACTAAGCCATATCTAGTAGGGTTGGAGCCATAGGGCCCACACGAAAATCGAACGTATTGCTGGCAGAATTCCAGAAGTAGAGAGTTGTAGCTAGCATGTTCTCATCTCTGTTCACAGATTGCTTGGACAGAAGGATGGAGTCGTACATCCCAGCCATTTTCCAGTGATCTCCATACCTTAGAAGGAGTCTATCAATCCACTTCGACCACTTCACTGCACTATTCCTTACTTCACTGGAGGGATAAGATCCGCTCAAGTTCTTACTGACCCAAGTGTGAGAAGTCAGGCCAGAAGAGCTTTGGAGGCAAAGGGGAGCCTCAACATCCTCCTTGAATAGATTAACCATTTCCTTCGGCACCGCGCCAAACTAGTGAGGACCCAAAACGAGTGTGTTCTCAAAAAGGTGGAGAACATTTTCATCCAAATTCTTCTGGGTAAAAGGGTGGAGCTTGCTACAAACTTCATTCGCATGCTGATCGACACCATCTCCAGTAAGATAAGCAGGAGACCAAGAGGAAGAAGAACCCTTGCCACTAGTTTTTGGGGAAGACATCTTCGAATTCAAACAATAAACAGGGAAGAATTGAAGAACCAGCCAAAGAACAAAGGGTTTTTAGGAGGAAATGAAAAGCTAAGACAAAATTAGGTTTCCAGTGAACAGTAATGAAGTTCAGAACTTTTTATAAACTGAAAACAGAAGATCGTGGGAAGAGTGGGAAGAAAGGAGTTTCGCTCGGATTTTATTAGCCGTTAGAACCCATTTCCCCATGAAGCATAAATTGAATGGGCAGACGAGCGGTAGTGCAACGGCAGGAAATGGTGCGCATCATTGATTGGCTAATCATTAAGTCTGGGACCGTTCGCACCAGCCCATTTTCACAAAGAAGCCCACAAAACAAAACAAAAAAACAGAAGGATAGGCCTTGACTCCAGAAAGTAGCCCAAATCAACATTAGAGGCCCATGTCTTTTGCAAAGAGCGGCAGAGGTTTAAAAAACATAAATAAATAAATAAATAAAATTACCAATTAAATGGTAATTCGTCACCAAGTTGGTCGATAAACTTCTAAGAAATTTGATTACGCTCAACTTCTAAAGAATTCTCGCCCCTTAATTGCAAAAACAAGTCAGCAGATCTTTTCTTTCTAAAAATGATTTTTTCAAAAGAGCCCCACATGACTACCTGACTTTGAAAAGTCAAAAATTTCAACTATCACAGGGGAGTTGACAGAGAGTTCATGAAGGCAGGTATAAAAGGAAGACTTCTTTGAATCTTTGCAGCCAAAAGATCAAAATCTCTTTCTATATACAGAGAAATTCTGCACCAGAGCAGGTGTCATTTCCAAGGGATAAGCAAACTATATTTTCTAAAGAGATAAGTAGGGAGCAGAGAGTTGTTCATCAGGAAAAGCAAACTAACCATCATGGTAGATTGCATTCTTACAAAGGGCAGTTAAAGAGTAAGAAGGGATTAGGTTTTCTTTCAGGAAAAGTAGGGAAATGATCACCATAAGAACTGACTGTTGATAGCTTTTCTGCCAAAATAGATAACTTCCCATTTTTATGGCATTTAAAAAGAAAGATCTTTTGAAAATATTTGCCGCCCATTATTTAAAGATTAAAAATCCCCACTCCAGCATTTTCTAGAAATATGAGAGGAGATGAACAAATCGATGGACAACCAAAAATTCAATCAAGACAAAAACTCTCAAAGTCACAATTGACAAACTCAAAAAGATCCATTTGATCTCAAAACCTTCAAACAAGAAACAAGTCACCTAGAATTCAAGTTTTTTACAGTTCAGCTCAGAGAAACAGTTTTACAAAGCGAGATTTCTCTCGTTACAAATTTGGTTCAGCACAAAGCCAAGTCAAGCAGAGTCCGAGTTTTTACAAATATGAAAACCTCAGCAAATTTGCAGAAAGCCTTGGTCAAGCAGAACAGGCACCATAGCGCAGCTCCAGCTCAGTGATCATCAATCCAGCCACTTTTGCCCTCTCCAAATTGAAGATGCCTCAATTCTACCAGTTCAGCAAGCCTTCCATGGCCTGAAATAAATCAAAGCTCTGCCAAACTCAAACGTTGGTATCAATTTCCAACTAAAACTCATCAGTTGAAGGTGTTGACGATCCAATCCAGCATAGACACATCCAATCCAGCCTGGTTCAGAGGCAGTTATGCAGACAGAAATCGAAGTCCAACATCCTGTTGTCTTGTTTCAGAGTTGTCATTTCGTTTTTGAGTCCTGTAACAGGCAGTTCTGCCTAAAACAGTTTACTTTCTTTTTGTCTATTCTGGCAAGAACTACCAATTTTGTACTGTGAAAAATTATGGAGTCCTCACCATTCTGAGGCAAGAAAAGAACTTACTTGGGAGATATTCATCACCCAAATTCACAATTGCTTGTTTGGAAATCAATAACTTGGGGCGCAAGTTATCTATTTTTAAGAAGTCTACTAGAGTTTTTATTGCTAGCAGTGGCACGCTCATACACAGAAGAAAGTTGACTTGTTGACCACTAATGGTTTTCAAGTCAATAGGGAACTTTACCCCACCTTCACAAGATCAAAATCAAAATGGGTGAACACAAACCTAGCCTCGCTCGCCCTGACAAACAAGCCCAATAATTAAAACTTTCTCCATGTGATCAATCCCAGCAACACATTTGCTCCAAAAGCGAGACCCCAAAGTCTGTGATTCTATCACACCCTATAAGACCCATTTGCCAAAAACCCCTATCCACGATGTGTAATCAATGAACAACCTTGCAAACTCAAAACGCTAATCAAATTTGCAGACCCAATTGCTTCTAGGGCCTGGTTCGAGACCAAGCTACAAAATCCCAAATCCAAATACGTCAAATTATGTGATAAATTCAACAGCGAAACAACTCCAAAATTCCCAATATTCTTTCTCTTTTTGAGCAAAACCTTGGACAATTTGGGACACTCCTTTGCCAAAGCACAAAGACCTTCGTCCCCAACATTATCAAAGATCAATACTTCATCAAATTGGTATGAAATTTCATATGGGGTTTCCAGACTGAGGTTGATTACCTCGATTTTGGGGCATGTTTGGGCCAAGAATGAAAGGTTGGTGTCGGTGATGAACTTTGGTGTTTTGAATGTGATTAAATTTGGGAATCTGGGAAAGACTTGAAGGGGAGAGAGAGAGAGAGAGAGAGAGAGAGAGAGGGTCGGGGGTGCGCTGGTGGTGTTGTGAGGAAGATGATGGCTGCGATGGAGATGGGGGTTGGGGCAGAGATGGAAAGGGGTTGGGAAGGGGTGGGCAAGGCAAGGTCGTGGTGAGGTTGGCTGCATTGGAGAGAGAGAGAGAGAGGGTCGGGGGTGCACTGGTGGTGTTGTGAGGAAGATGATGGCTGCGATGGAGAGGGGGGTTGGGGCAGAGATGGAAAGGGGCTGGGAAGAGGTGGGCAAGGCAAGGTCGTGGTGAGGTTGGCTGCGTTGGAGAGAGAGAGAGAGAGAGAGAGAGAGAGAGAGAGAGATTTTTTAAAATACTTTTAAAATAATTTAAATAGTAAAATAATTTATTTATTAATTTTTGGTCCACGTTATAAAAAATGAGGTCCAACTTTTGACACGTTAGCATTTAATAGACTCATTAACGGTTTGGCTAACAAAGGGGGCAATTTGTAGGGTTTCTGGGAGTTTGAGTGTGTACTCATAAATATCTTTAAAATTTGGTATGAACTTGAAAATGACCCTATAGTTTAGGGGATTTTATGTAGTTTGTCCTTTTTTATTATCAATAAAACATCTTTTTATAGGGTTTGTTACACTCTAATATTTAGACCAAATGTAAAATTAACTAAGTACAGCATATTTAACTACAAAAAAGACCATTGATACACCCTACTACACTCTGTCACACAACACCAAACTCATTCAAGAGCTAGATGTAGAACACTATAAGACCACCAAATCCACCTTACTGCCGAATATGGCAGAACTACCACAAGGGCTACAGTGGACAATAGCCCAATGAGGTTTTCGGGAAAAAAAAAAATTAACCTACATATTTGTCTTATTTCAAATATAGCCTAGTATGTATTAACCTACTAAGTTTCAAAAAAATTCAATTATTTATGAATTTAGTTTCATGGCAACAATAAAAGTACACATTAAAATAGTTACACTTTCAATTTTGTTGTTGAACATATTTTTATTTTGATAATATATGGTTTTTGGTTGCATTTAATATGTATTTGTTTTAACTTAAAGCTTATTGGAAATTGCACGGGGTTTGTAGCTCAAATAGATAAAACCATTTACCCTTGTCTAAGGTTCAATTTTCCATCCCCCAATAAATTTTTTTTAATTATTGGAAATTAATCAATTGAGGTATGAACTATCGTAATTTACATGATTTAATGTGTACTTTTATTTTTACAAAGATTAGAAATTGTAAGTACGAAAACAATGATCATTAGAATTTTAGCTAATAAATGTAGCTAGCCTACCCGTTGAAAAATTGATGGTTTCCCTTGCTACCGAATACTCCATCAAACCACCAAACCCACCTTGCTACTGAACTTGCTGCTTAACCCACCAAAAGCCGCCGACCAAACTTCAAGGTATGTAACTGATTTTTGGTGAAGCTAGTGCCTCCTGCAGATTAGACAACATATGATGTTGAGTAGAGTATAGAGAGGGAACTATCATACACAAGGTCAAAGAATCGGGGGTTGTCTATCTTCTTGGTGACGGGGATATTAGGGAAAGATTCTTGGTTTATTAAGAAGTTAATCATCAATTACTTCTATGGCTATGAAGTAGTCCCAACACTTTGCCATTTACCAAATCTTAGACATGTTGACTTTTACTTTATGGATAAGCTTAAATGTCTAGGAGATGAGTTTTATGGTTATAACCAAACCAGGGCAGCTTTGTTCCCCACATTGAAAACCTTAGGATTTGTTTCTTGCCACGCTTTAATTGAATGGAAGGAAGCAACTGCGATGTCAACAGTAGCGGTGTTTCCTCGCATTGAGGAGTTGAGTCTCAATTCTTTAATGCAATTGAAAAATGCTCCCAGTCATTTTCCATATCTCCGGAAGTTGAACATACATGTTCTTGACAATGTCATGCCAATAGAAAACATATGCAGCCAACTAACCACTCTCACTTCCCTCTATATGCAAGGGATTAAGGAGCTTACTTCTCTGCCAGTAGGGATGGCGGAAAAGAACCGGAATCTTTGGTCACTGATTATCGGCCATTTTGAAAACCTGACGCACTTACCTGATGGATTGCAACACAAACTTCCTCTTCTTGATGAGTTGTTTATATTAAGTTTCCCTAATCTAGAGCTCATTCCAATTACAGAAGGCGTACCATGTCTCCTAGAACTCAACATTAAGGATTGTAAGAAACTATCAAGCTTACCGAGTGGGTTAAAATATTGCACCTCTCTTCAGATGTTGAGTATAAGTTGTTGCCCCAATCTCACATCAATTCCAATTCTACAAGTCCTCCCACCATCCCTCCTTATGTTGGAAGTTGAATTTTGTGGTGCATTAACAAGCTTAGCAGGTGGTCTTGAATGTCTTACCACCCTTCAGCAATTCACCTCCCTCCGCAAATTGTTTATTTATGATTACGAACTGGAATCCATCAATAGTTCTCTGGAGGAGTTGTCTTTACTTGGTTGCACATCCCTCTGTGATTTGAACATTCGAAATTGCAAAGGGTTCACAAGTATATTTAGTGGGCTAAAATCTTGTACTTCTCTTAATTCACTGTGTGTTAATACTTGTCCAGATTTGATGCATTTACCGATTGATGGGCTGCAAACCCTTGTCTCTCTTGAGGAGCTGAGAATATGTTATTGCCCTAATCTAGAAGCTGTTCCCAGTTTGAACAACCTGACATCCCTTCGTGAGTTGCACATTTGTAGCTGCGGAGGATTGACAAGTATACCAAGTGGGCTAGCCTCCTGCACATCTCTTACCAATTTGTCACTCGACTCATGCCCCAACTTGGTATCTATTGCAGAGGATGTATCTAGGCTACAATCCCTAACTCGTTTACAAATATTTGATTGTGGGAAGTTACAATGTTTGCTGACTGGCCTGCAGTTTCTGACCCGTTTGGAACATCTAACAATTCGTGAGTTCTCAGAGAAGCTTGATTGTTTCCTTGATTTTGAGGCTCCACCAAGAGTTCAAAAAATAAGGTTGTGGGGATGGCCAAAGCTCAAGTCTCTACCTCAACAAATTCAACACTTCACTTCTCTCACATCTTTGTTTATAATATCTTTTAACCAAGTGGAGACTTTGCCAAAGTGGTTAGGTAACTTTACATCTCTTACATTCCTGGGTATTCAGAGGTGTGAGAATTTGATGTATCTACGTCCGATCAAAGCTATGCAATGCCTCGACAATTACAAGAGCTAGTGGTTGATGGATGTACCCGTTTAGAGGAAAGATGTGCAAAAAAGGTTGGCCTAGAATGTCCTAAGATTTCTCATGTTCCAAAGACAACGCGTAATTTCTTCTCAAATATTTTTTCACATTTCTCTCACTTTTATTTTTCTTCTCTACTGTACTAACCAAGCATATTTTTGAATCAGTTTACTGATGAATTAGTAAACTGATGGATTAGTAAGCTTGGAGGAAGGGGAAGTACATGCCCAAAGAGTTGCTTCAGGTTTCACATTGAAGTGCAACATAAGCTTTACAAATTTCTCTTTTTATTTCTCTTCTTACGTACGTTTCTATTCGATCATATTTAACCAGTTTACTTGATGCGATTTATTATTACTGCATAAAGTGTAGACTGTAATAACCCGATCCTAAATTAATATTTAATTATTCAAGTATTCAAGTAAAAGACAATTTTACCTAGGGAATATTTTAAAGGGTTTAAAAGTTGACCTTTTGTTCAGAAATGAATTTGGGGAATTGGGTTACACCGTTGTGTCGGGCTCATGGAAATGAGTTCATAGATATGCGGCACACACAATTCCGAGTTGTAACGAAGGAGGAAAGGTCTAGAAACGAAAAGGACGTAATGGGAATTTTTAAATTTGTGATTGTAGCAAATAGTACTACTACAGTACCGCTATAGTAACTAGGCTGTTTTAAAATATTTCTTTTTTCTTCTTTTTTCTCTCTCCTCCTCCCTCTCCTTGGCAAGCAAACCCCTACCCTCTGTTACTGTTGGTCCGAACAGTTTTTGGGTTGCCATCTCCTCCTCCAGCCACCCCAAGCGATGACATGGGTACCAAAAAAACCAGCACGTCGTCCTCTACCAACCCCACACCTTAGCCGCTGCCAACCGCTATCTGGATCGCCGGAAAAAGCAAGAAATTGGCTGGTTTTTACCCAAAATCTCCATCGCATGTTCGGGTGATTTCGGCTACCAAATTCTTCAATGTGTTCTAGCTATTGGTTGGATTTTTTTAGGATTAATTTCTGCGCTTTGAAACAGATTTTATCGCTTAAGGTTTTGGCCGGTTTTCGGCTCACGATTCCGGCCATGTTCGGCAACTTTTTGGGGTTGGTCCAAGAATGAAAGTTGCTTTGTTCATTGTCCTAATCATGTAGGTATAGGTCTTGACCAGAAGTTTGGTGATTTTCCGATCGCCGAAATCGCTTTAGACACTCACGCACTACCGGCGAGTGTGGCGGCTCGTGGGCACTATTTGAGTGTCCCTCGTGGTCCTAAAATGATCCTCATGTCGTCCCGAGCACGACGGTATGCTCATATTTCAATTTGGTTACTATTTGATTGTAGATCGGATATCGCATATTAGGCGTTATCTGGGTTTGATATGTTTGGACCATTGGATCCGCCTCTTTTTTCAAATATGTTGATTTAGGCACTTTGAGGATCGTATAGGAATTCACGGATCGTGAATCAAAATCCCGGATACTCCGATTTAATAATTAAAAGTTTAGATAAATGATAACCGTCCAATCGTGAGCAATCCGATCGTTCCATTCGAACCAGACTTGCAGGACAGGTATATATAAACCTTGTTGAACCCGTAGGAACTCTCGGATCAGAAATGGGAGGTCGTGGGTGAATTCTCATGTGTGTGTTATACTCAGTCATATTCACAACTCTAAAGCAATACTTGTAACTTCCCAATACTCGTATCAGTTATATATTGAATATAAATATGCCATACACTAAACTCTCTCTATTTTAGTTTAAGAACATCTCAAAACTGAAATTCTCTCCACCTAGGCGTACCCCCATTCCTGATCCGTCAATTCCATCCTTGCAGACCTCGGAGACACCAAGTCTACTCGAGCCGCAATCCTCGCAGGCCTCGGAGATACCAAGTCTATCTGAGCCGCAATCCTCGCAGGCCTCAGGGGACCATTGGTGAGCCTGAGCCGCATTCCTCTCCCCACACGGTTCAGGTGTCCCCGAAACACGTGGGGCATTATTTATAACTAATACAGTTTCAAAGCAATTAAGGGGTACTCTTTTGGTGGGTTTGAAAATGAAAAACCATATCCCAAACTTATATCAATACTTTCCCTTTATTGCACAATCCATTTCCCGACTTTTATATTAACTTTCTGATAAATTGATTCTCAACTTTACTTAAAAATATATATGCCACAATATGATAAAAACCAAGAGCCAGCTACTGGGCATATTAGCAATCTATAAGTAACTATCTATACTCAATCCATAACATGACCCAGATAACTCATTCTCGGTCAGGACCCGTTTACAAGGTCATTTAAACACTTCTCAAAAGATATAACTCCCTCGGAAGACTCACAGTCAACCGAGGGGTCAAACTGCCTAAACTTGGTCAACCGGGCCCGCAGGGCCCATGACCTCCGATCACAATTCCGAGAGTCCCTATAGGTTCTACGCACTCTTCTGAACCTACCCTGCAAGTTTGGTCCAAATCGAACGGTCGGATTGATCAAGATCGCATGATCGGACGACTACAATTTATTTTGCCTAAGGGTTCGCAATTTCGGGGTATCTAGGACTCTATACAATCCTGAAATTGCAAGGTATAACATACGGGAATTTGGGTTCGATCCAACAGTCCAAACATATCAAACCCGAAAATTGCACAATAGGCGAGATCCGTTCAAGACTCAAACGATATCCAAATTGAAATCCAAGCACACCTACGCGCTCGTCACAACTATGGGATCGCGCTGGGACACAATGCCCCTCTGCTACAGTACCCACGCGTCGCTACATGCGCCGGCAATGCGTGGGTGTTCAAAGCGATACCGTTCCCCGGAAAACTTCAAAATCAAGGGCCACCCTCCCGGCTATAGATAGTACTCGACGAGTGGAGCAATTTATTCAACTACGGCAACGTCCAATTCGGATGGCAAGTGGCCGGAATTTCAACCCAAAAAGGGGCCAAACTTAGGGTTAAAAATCGAGTTACTTAAGCTAGAAATTGATTAGTTCCTACCCAACCATCAGGTAGAGCATGGAAAATAGGTGAGAAAGCATACCTCATTCATTAGAAGCGGTGGCCGAAGGAGAGAGAATGAGCTTGAGAAAAACCAAGAGATTTCGGCTAGATTTTTGAACTTTTCAACGACTGGGCTGGCAGGTGGCAGCGGAGGAAAGTCAGGATGGAAAGCTGGGGTGGTGGCAGTTCGTTTGAGCCCGAACCTGTGGCTGGTGGCAGCTTGTGGAGGTGATAGTGGCTTGAGGAAGCGATAGCTGAAGGAAGAAAAAATTGGGGGAGGGGCTTGTTCGCGTAGAGAGAGAGAGAGAGAGAGAGAGAGAGAGAGAGAGAGAGAGAGAGAGAGAAATAAAAATCTGACTTTTGCAAAATTACGATTTTGCCCCTCTACGTATTTTGATTGTATCTTCCTTAATAAAACTCGGATTTGAGCCCACAACGTGTCTACGGACTCATCTCAATGTGCTCTATGCAATGGTACTATTAAAACTCCCAACTTCCTTCCCAGTCAAAAAGTCAAATTTTAACCTAATAAAATATTCTAGGGGCATAATGGTCTTTTACCAGTATAAATTAATACTTAAAAATTGATTTAGGATTGGGTTGTTACAATGGGCCTCGCGGCCTTGGTTGACCCAATTTAGAAAGTTTAACCGTCGGTTGACCGTGAGTCATCCGAGGTAGTTTCACCCTTTGAGAAGTGCTAGAACGACTGTGTAAACAAGGCTTGACTGTTTGTGAACTATTTTGATTATGTTTGGTTTGGGGTTTATGTTAGTGTTTTATGATATTCTTGGGTGTTGTTCTGATATTCTAAGTTTATCTTGTTATTTATTTATTTATTATTATTATGAGAATTATTATAGTATATGTCTGGGTGATATTGGATTATTCAAATGTTTATGAAATATTATGTAATCGCTTTTGCTTTCTAAGGATATTATATTGTGTTTGGTTGTGAAGCGTTAGGAATGGCTTGTTAATCGGATTTCGATGTGAATAATAAATTAGTTAAATAACTAAGTACATATCTAACTACATGTATATATTTAATATATATACTCAGTGGTTTGAGAATGGTGAATTATGGACACTAGTTCTCAACAGTATGTGGTGTAAATTCAAATGTAGTTGAGAACTAATTTTCTGAAAGTTGAGAAAAAAGATTTGAAATGTGGATTTGTGGAATATGGGAAACTTTATGATAAATTTTGGAGTACCCCCTCAATTTCCTTTGAAACAGTTTTGTCATTTATGACAATGCCCCACGACTTTCAAGGACGCCTGAACTGTGTGGTGCGGGGGCTAACTACATGTCCCTTGAGTTTTGCGAGGATGTGCAGCTCAAGTTCACTAGTTGTCCCCTAAGTCTTGCGAGGAATGCTGCTCGGGTTGACTCTGTGTTTCTGAGGCCTGCAAGGATGTGTTGCTTATGTGACATTGGAATTGATGGAATATGATTGGAATGGACGGAATATTATTGGAATTGACGGAATATCATTGGAATTGACGGATCATGAATGGGGTACGCCTAGGTGGAGAGTATTTAAGTTTTGAGATGTTTTAAACTAAAATTGAGGATTTTATCTTTGTATTTGTGGGCGAAGGTTTTAATATATGTTTTACTACTTAAGAGACAAGGATTAAGAGTTTTCTAAGTTTCAAGGATTTTGTATAATTCACGATTAGTTTCTTAAGTGAAGTTTTATTTTACCATGTCGTTATTTGATTTTTTATACCCGTTCTTTTTCTCCTTGTGTTTCTTTTCCAATTAAAAAGTTATTCTCCTCTCATTATTTTCTTTTCCTTTTCAATTTCTTTTTAAATTTGATTTTGCAAAACAAGAGATAAACATAAAAGTTGAATATGTAACTTGTCAACAAAACAAAGAGGAAGAACTACGTATGGCTTGATCCCTTAGTAAGGGGACACAGGCAACCTAAAGTTACTAGGTGCAGCCGCAAGATAAAGTGATTGAAAGTTTGTTGAGTTAAGTTATTTTGAAATTTGATAACATATTCATGTTGTTCGAAAAGTTGAGATCAGTTTCAGATGGTAGAACGATTTATTTTGTATAAAGAGGCCTGAGGCCAGCCAACCTTCTCGCCTAGAAGCTAGAAGGAAGCAGTCTTAAGGGGGGCAATTGGGGCGTGGACATCAAGGTCTTTATGAGTGACTACCCTAAGAAATCAGACTTATGCTAAGTTCTCTTGTTCTTGTTTCATAAGCAAATGCGGCAACCTAGTGGTATAGTGAGCTCTTATGTTTGGTTGCATGAATTCTATTTTTGTGCATGCTGAATGGTTGTGGATATTTAAATTTCTTGTAGTACAAGTGATAAAGTTTGGGAAACGAGCAATTTATAGGGGAGACTCTGCCGAATTTTCAGCAGAAGTCAAACCCTAAAGAATTTTGAATTTTAGTTTGAAGGGCAATTTGGTCAAGTGTGTCCGGCACCTGCCAGGTGTCGGACACACACAGGGTTTGGTGCAGATTCCAAAGTAGAATTTGGGTAGGGTCTTGTCATAAACTCTCAGGAGGCTCTTACTATGTTAGAAGAACAAGTGATGTGTGATAATTTCGATATGGTTGTATGCCCTTCAGGTACTTACTTCTGTTCCCTTTCCACTGCATATGAGATCACTTATGTTTAGCTTATATGTAAATTCGCGTAGGTTTGACTTGTACGTATATTCACATGTTTAGCTTCAATTCTTATCATTTTGTTCATGATTTGTCTCTTCTGTCTTGTCACATTTTCATTTAATTAATTAAGTATTGGCTGTTAACATCTTTCTCAACTCAGCAGTTACTTTGGTTTGCAATATCAAAGACTTCCTAGGCCTCATGGAAGAACAAAATTAATTGCTTTACACTCAATATTTTGCAATCACAATGTTTTTGGAGTAACAATTTCGACTTTACAGGAAAATTATGTGTGCTAACTAGTTCGGAAGACAAATTACTACATACATAACATGGAACGATAATTCAGCTCTTGCATGATTTCGTGCCAACTTTTCGTATCCTCAAACAGAGCTTTTGAGTCCTTAATTTTACATTATTAGTTTGGGTTTTGTGGCAGTCTAAACATACATAATTCTCACATTAATCATGATTTTGGATTAGACAATTCAGCTCACTTTTGACTTTCTGCAAGCTCTTTTTTCCCTTTGATACTATATTTTACTGTTTCGGGTGTCTTCCTTTCCAAGCAAAGAGGAGTATAAGTCGACTCCTTTTCCTTAGAATTGTATGACATGATATGTATGTGGTCTAATTCCATGAGTGATCCAGTAAAATCAACGATAGAAACATTTTCTTCTTTTAAGTTATTTTTCAATCATTATTCATATAAAAGCCAACTAAATTAGAAGTTGTTTAGCCATTTGATTCTTGTCATTTTCGTTTCAGTTTTATCAAACAAGTTACGGTCTGTGTGTGCCTATTTTAAATAATCAATCAATAGAAATTTATATATATATATATCCCCAGTTCTAGCATTAGTATTATAAAGAAACACTACAACATGAATTTTGGAGAAGAAAAAAATACCCAAAGTTAGCTAGCTGTCCCTTCTTGATATTTAATTGATGTGTGAAATTGTGAAATTTAGTCCTTAATTTCACAAAATGGCTTTGTTTTTTGTTGCTGTTGTTCTTATGAGTCCATGGTGTCACTGCAACATTTGTAATCCTCTGTTTCACAATGCAGGGTTTCAGCTATATGTATGGCATATGAGTTGTTGATACATGTAGTTTAAGCAAATCACTATTTCAGGAACTTGTTGATCTATTTTCGTTTTTCTTGTTTCTGCAATTAAGGTCATGGACTCTTGCATGGTTGCATATCACACAGAACAAAGGTCTTATTTGAGAGCATGTCATTTACCTATGCTATTTCAAGAATCAGGTAAATGAATCTCCAGTTGTTAGATTTTTACCTACATTTTAAAAGCTGAAGGTAATTTTGAACATTTCTTGCTAAGTTTGTCTTGATGTTATATTGACCGTGTAGAGTCGAGATTGAAGAAGAAACTCATGCATGCGATGTGCCTGTGATCTAGAACTTAGTGTTTGGACGAAATGGTAAGCTACTGTCCCTTCAGTTTGTTTTCTTGACACTCATCAAAAAATCGAGTTATATTCTTATGAGTTTTGTATCATAGGTTCAACTTGTTGTGGAGCAGTTTAATTAGGAAAAAATGATTACCATCAACTTCCAGAGGTGCAACTTAATTAAGACGAGCATTCTGATGGAGAACACTTTCCCTAGCTAGTCAAGCCATGCGTTCTGTCTCTTATAAAAAGAGAGTTTTAAATCCTCTTAGAGATTGCAATCCCTGGCCACAATTTAGAGAGATCAAGTGAGTTTCGGATGTATTTGGGGTTCTCTAGGGAGAAATGGGATGAACGAAGAGAGATTAATTTAGTTTGGTTGCGAGAACCTACTTGTTCTTTTCTGTCATGTTCTGGTGCACTTTTGATTTAGTGAATTACTATTGTCATCGCCCGTGGATGCAGCCCAATTTTGGGTCACCCACATTGAACATGGTGCTTTCTCTGTTTCTGCTTTAGTTCATCGTTCTCTTCCTATTATTACTTTTCCTGTGCTTGGTTTGTAGTCTAGGACTAGAGAGTTAAATGTGGCAAATTTCTTGCTCTGCTTCGTGTTGACACATCAAATGCGTATTTGCATTGGTGAGTTTGCAGAATCACAGAGGTGATTTACAATGCCCCATTGAAGAGCTCCCAAAAATTACTCACATCGATTTCCATCCAGGTCCAAAACTATCAAATAGCTCATCACGTATATGGTGCTGTTAGTCTCCATTTGGTTGCATTGAAGTTTGATTTGAAAACCTTTCTTGTAATAGCAGAGGTACTTTGTTAGAGAAGAGTTATTCATGTTCGTTGATCTTTGTTCCCCATCGGTTTGCACTTTGTGTTATTAATCAATTGATTGTTTGGATATAATAAAAAAAACCACAAGAGTGAACAAAATAGGTCCCTCATCTCAGTAGAAAGAAATTTGGGAGTTGCTATTGAGGAACAATGGAAGAGAACATACATGTATAGAGAGAGTTCAGGAGAAAGTTGCATGGGGTTGCGAACCGAGTCGTCGGATTTCCTTACTTTGGTCTAATTGTAACCCAAGTTATAAACATGACCTTAAAGGGTTTTGTGGAAAACATAACGATGGTGATGTGCATTGCTTGGGGAGCAGAATTGTGGCTGTTGATTTCTGAAACTTAGAGTGTGTATTCAATGTAGATTTTAAATGATTTTAAAAGAGTTATAAAGTTGATGCAGTTTAATTGAATTTAATTGAGTTTGATTGAATTCTACAAACTCCACATAGATTTTGACTGAATGCGTGTATAGATTTTAACTGAGTTTGTTAGAGTTTTATTATTGATTTTAATGGAGTTTATAGCAGTCAAAAAACAAAGGATTTAGGGGTGATGGTGGTTGTGGTGATGTCAATGGCAGTCATGATGGCGGTTTGTGTATGATGGTGGGGGAGGTAGTAGTGGTGAAGGTGGGAGTGGTAGTGGTGGTGGCGGTGGCATCAGCGGTGGGGTGATGGTGGGGGGTGGTAGTGGTGGTGGAGATGGTGATGGTGGGGATGATGGTGGGGCTAGTAGTCGGGGAGGTGGTGGTGTTGGGGGATGGCGGCGATGGAGGGTGGTGGTGATGGCGACGACGATGATTGTGTTGGTGGTGATGGCGGTGGTAATAGCCATGATAAAATGGTGGTAGTAGAAGTGGTGAAATTATATCTTTAGAATAAAAATAATTTATCTATCAAAGTCTCTAGGGGAAAGCAAAAATTTGTCAATGCCTAAAATTATTCTATAATAAAACGAAATCCACCACTTTTTGTATTTCCTTTAAAATCAATGAGTTTTTTAATACACCCAAACTTTTATTCTTTTAAAGTCGTGATTGAATACATCCAAATTTGAATGGAGTTTAAAAAGTCTAAATTGAATATACCGAAAATTGTATAGACTTCTATAAAATCTTTTAAAATGTAAATTGAATACACCCCCTAAGACTCTCAATAAGCCTTGCTTTGCTTTTTCGTTACAATTCCTCAGTATTCTAATTTTCCAAAATCTTCCAATCCTAGTTTTGAAAAAGAAAAGGCCAAAGCTCCTCACTATGTATTCTCCTATTCATTTGATTGAGGAATATGATTTTCTCATGTAAAAGTCGAAGCATCTATGGGATTGAGGCTATCCTTTTCTTCATAGCTTGATGCTGATATCTGTCTTGTTAAAGTTGAAATTCTTAACCTTCTGAATAAGTAAAATATTCTTTAAGTAGAGTGTTCTTTAGGGAAAACCAATTTCCTCCTGCATCTATAAATTCGTTCATAACAGAGACAACAAACTATATGAGTCTTTAAACCTTGTTCAATTTTCCTTAATTAAAATAAGCATTCTGCTCTTTACTTGTCTTGAGCGTACATACTAAAGGGTGAACTTATGGCAGCTGAGTTTGTGCTTACTTTTGCTGCCCAGGGAGTACTGACCAAGGTCGTTGCACTCGCCACTGAGCAACTCAGTGATGCTTGGGGATTCAAAGGAAAACTGGCCAAGCTGGGGGATTCATTATCCCTCATGCAAAACATCTTACGTGATGCTGCGGAGCAACCAACAGATCGGGGCCACAGCGTCAAAGCTTGGGTGAAGAAACTTAAAGACATAGCACAAGATGCTGATGATGTGTTGGATGAATTCCAATATGAAGCTCTTCGTCGTAAACTGGAGCTGCAAAACCACATGAAGAAAAAGGTACTCAACTTCTTTTCAATCTCCAATCCCATTGCTTTTCGCCTTAAAATTGGGCAAAAAATTAAGAACATCAACCAACTTTTGGTTGATCTCAGGAGTGAGGCATCTTTGATTGGACTGGTTGCAAAACAAAAAGAGGCAACCACCCAAATTATGGGGAACAGAGAAACCGTCTCAAGTTTTGATGAGGATGAAAAGATTTTCGGAAGGGAGGAGCTGTTGTCAGATATAGTTAAGACTTTGACCAACACCAGCAATCATGAAAATCTTTCCGTTATGCCCATTGTGGGAATGGCAGGCCTTGGAAAGACAACTTTGGCCAAATCTGTATACAACGAACCAGAAATAGATAAATCATTTGACAAAAAAATATGGGTCTGTGTATCTAACGATTTTGATGTCAATTCAATTTTAAGAAGGATCTTAGAAATACTTAACCCCACAAAGGCCAGGATAGAAAGTCGAGAGGCGTTGCTTAAAAACCTCAAAGAAGAGTTGGTAGGGAAGAGATATATTCTTGTACTTGATGACGTTTGGAATGAAGATCATTCAAAATGGAGTAATCTGATGAGTTGTTTGTCAAAACTTGGTTCTCACGGAAGCACTGTGATTGTCACCACCCGTAGTGCCAACGTTGCATCAATTACGGAAACAATTCCTAATCTCAGGTGTAATTTGGATACTCTACAAGAAGATGAATGTTGGTCCATATTGAAGGATAGAGCATTTCCTAATTACGGTAATGCTCATATAACTCCACATCAGGAGACAATTGGAAGGCAAATTGCAAAAAGGTGTGGTGGTGTACCATTAGTGGCAAAGGTATGTAAATGTTATTTTAAAATCCTATTATAATTGAACTACTCTTTACTCTCATCAAAATTTGCATACAAGTCATCCAATCCATTTAGTTTGTACGTTATTAATTATACAAATTTATAAATAAACCCAATCCTAGACATGTATTTATAAAAAAACCCAAGCACTATTTAAACATAGAAACACACCCAAAATTAATCCCAAAGTCAACTTTTTGGGTGTGTTTATAAATGAGTTTTGAGTGTGTGTAATGATGGGTTTTGGGTGTGTTTATATGTTTAAATAGTGCTTGAGTTTTTTTATAATTTCAACCCCCATTTTGGGTGTTTTAGTGAAACTCCCTATTAATTAAGCTCCAACTAACAAGTTACTAATTATTACATTTTCTCTCATATCTCTCGCATGCATTTAGGCCTCATCATTTGGCCCGCGGGCTCATGGGCCGATGGGGGCCCGCCCGGCCCATTGGAAAAAAGCCCGGCCCGGCCCGTTATGGGCTTTGGGATGGCCCGGCCCGCCTTGGGCCGGGCTAGGCTTGGGCTTGGGTGTCTGAAGCCCGGCCCGGCCCATAGGCCCGGCCCGATTAAGCCCAAGAAGGCCCGGCCCGGCCCACCCACAAAAGCCCGGCCCGTTAGGCCCGCATACATATATAATTATGTATAAATAAGAGTTTAGGATTAGGATTATATCACTTAAATCACATATATAATTTGTTTCATTTCATTTACTTTTCTTTACTCATTCCTAATTTATAATTGGATGATTAGCACATTAATTTGTGTCAATTATTAATACAACAATTATATATATATATATATAAATAAGATGAACAATATATCATATCACTAAATATAATCATATCACGAAACATAATCGTACTACTACCACCAAATATAATCATGTTTTTCTTGAACACATCACCAAACATTTACATATTTATTTATACCATCCTTTAAAAAAAATATCTTTTTGATACTTATTATTTTTTAAAATTATTTCTTAAAACGTATTACGGTCTAATTATGTAATAACCTCAAAAATAATACTTTGTTTTATTATTTTTGTGGAAAATCTTATTAAGTTGTGTGACTTTATTGGGTATTTTATGAATTTGGTTTGATGTGAAAATATTGGAATTAAGTGAGTTTAATCTCAAATTTAGACTAAAATGTCCTTATGATTAAGTTTATGATTTTTTTCAAATGAAGTAGGCCCGTTTCGGCCCGGCCCGTTGGGCTTAGCCCAACCCGACCCAATGGGCTTTCTCAAGCCCGACCTATGGGTCGGGCTTGGGCTTTGAATTTTCTAAAAAAACCCGGCCCGGCCCGGCCCGATATTTTCTCTCTCCTCTTTAAAGCCCGGCCCGGCCCGGCCCAAACCCGTTAAATTTGGGCCGGGCTAGCCCGGCCCGGCCCATTGACGAGCCCTACATGCATTTCACTTCATCTGAACTATTATAATAATATAATAGTTTCAAACAAGACACATCAGCTATAGAATTAAGTTTAGCCAAGTCCTCAAAGAAAACTTTGTTGTGTCTCAAAACTCGCCAAAATCACATCTCATATCTCATAAAAGAGTTAGCCAAGTCCTCACCAAACTGCCTTTCAACAAGAACTCTTCTCCTCACTCATCCACTATATGCAGCCATACAAGTGTAACCCAAGTCCCTATATTAAAATTACGAAACCTAATTGACTGCACCCATCTTCAATTTCACAAATTTTCATGAGCAGCATCACCTCAGACAAAATTCCCTCACTAACAATATATGAGTTAGAAAATGCATCCTCCTCAAGACAACAAATTCACCTCTCAAATTCCTCGTGGATAGTGCCTCAATACTCGTGGTAGCTCTAGCTCCTTATCGCCACCCACACTAATTAACTTGTTTGTGATTACTTACGGATCTATGTCTGCAACGGTTGTTGCAACACCAATCTCACCCCTCTTAGAAACAAACTTTGTCCCTCACACATGGTCCCGTTCGTACCCTCACCACGCCAATGGGAACCAAGACTGCCAGTCTTTCCTACGCTCGACATTGCAAAATACATCCAAAATTTATCAACCATAATCTTCAATGACTAGTTCACCCTTCATTTTTGAAGGCTATAAATATCTTTTGTTTAGTCCTCAAACCAAAGTTCTGATACCATTTGTTAGTGAAAGCTATCACAAGAAACCCTTAAAAGCCCAAGCATACATATCCTAAAGATGAGATTACATGGTTCATCTTAAATTTGGCTATGCCCATAGGAGATGGTGATGAATCCACTAATGGAGAAGAAAATTACAATTAAAAAGGAAATAACCTCTTCCACCATGCAAATTTGGCTCTACCTAATTGTTTATTTTGGTCATTAGCAATTTTACATATACATCCTAACTAACTCATGTACCAACAGGTTTTGGGAAGCATGTTACGTTCTAGAACTATTAATGAATGGTTGTCAATTCAAGAAAGTAAAATATGGGAATTATCCGAAGGCGAGGATAGAATCATGTCAATTTTGAAGTTGAGTTTTGATAATTTGAAATCAGCATCTTTAAAACATTGTTTTGCATATTGCTCAATATTTATGAAAGATTTTGAAATTGAAAGGGAGAACTTGGTCCAACTGTGGGTGGCCGAAGGATTGCTGCACTCTTCAAGTAATCCAAATCTAGAGATGGAAGATATAGGGAATGCATATTTTAATATTCTATTGCAAAACTCCTTTTTTCAAGATGTTATAAAGGATGAATATGGAGTTGTTATAACATGCAAGATGCATGATCTTGTGCATGATCTTGCAGAACTAGTGTCAAAATATGATAGAGAAGACAAACCTGACATTCAACATATGGCACAGACTCTTATCATACCACAAGGATTTTCAAAAAGCAATGTTGGGAAATTGCGGTCCCTATTTTCAAATGGTGAAGGCCTTAGCAATAGCTTGTCAAGTTTTAGTGCTTTACGTGTGTTGAATTTATACGAGGCTAAAATTGTGGAGTTGCCAAGCTCAATTGGCAGGTTGAAACACCTGAGGTATTTGGATGTTTCTGGAACAAGAATCAAAGAACTTCCAAAATCTATTGCCAAGCTTTATAATCTGCAGACGTTAAGAATGTTGGATACATGGAATCTTGGAAGGTTTCCAAAGGAAATGGAAAATTTGATCAACTTGAGGCATGTTTATTTCGACGAGGATAAGGAAGTCCCATTTGGGATAAGACGAATGACTCATCTACAGACATTACGTTACTTTACTTTGGATAGGAAAAGGAATCATGAAATTGGCGAGTTGGGTGGCTTAAACCAATTAAAAGGTGAACTAACTATCAGATCTTTGGAACAAGTGAGGGACAAAGACAAAGCAGAGGAATCAAATTTAGGAGGGAAAGCAAATATACGAATTTTGACATTAGAGTGGGGGTCTTATAGCCCCAAAAACAACATGGAGAGTTATGTACTGGAAGGCCTACAACCAAACCCTAAGCTAGAAATCTTAGAGATTGAAAACTTCATGGGTGTTAAATTAGCATCATGGATGATGAGTGGTTTGTTGCTACTTGATTTGAAAGAGATCCGATTATCCAACTGCAAGGAATGTGAAGAAGTCCCATCACTCGGCCATTTACCACATCTTAGGCATGTTGAATTCCGAGGTATGGATAAGCTTAAATGTGTGGAAGTTGAGTTTTATGGTTATAACCATGTTTACGGTGGTGCAGCGGGTACGAGTACGAAAAGGATTGAGATGAGGGCGGCTTTGTTTCCATCATTGAAAACGTTAAGTTTTTATGATTGCCCAGCTCTAATTGAATGGAAGGAAGTCGATGTGATTACACCAACAGATGAGAAAGCAGTTGTGTTTCCCTGCCTTGAGGAGTTGACTCTTTGGAAATGCAGGGATTTGAGAAATGCTCCAAATCGTTTTCCATCTCTCCAGAAGTTGTTCATACATAATAGTGACCACGTGATGCCAATAGAAAATATATGCAGTCAACTGACCACTCTCACTCACCTTAAAATTGGTAAAGCCAAAGAGCTTAGTTGTCTGCCAGTAGGGATGCTGGAAAAGAACCAGAATCTTCGGTCACTGCTTACTGGCGATTGTGAAAAGCTTAGCCATTTACCTGATGGGCTTCACACACTCTGTCTTCTTGACATATTGGAAATAGCTGATTGCCCTAAGCTAACATGCATTTCAATTCACAGTCTCACCTCCCTTCGAGGATTGCATATTGAAAATTGTGGTGGGTCAGCGAATCTACAGATGGTTGATGAGGAGTTCTCTTTAGATGATTTGACAAGTTATGAATGCAATGGGTTGAAAAGTATACTGATCAGTGGGCTACAGTCTTGTACCTCTCTACATTGGGTACGTATCATAAATTGTCAAAATTTGAGGCATTTACCGGTGGATGGGCTACAAACCCTCGTCTTTCTTGAGGAGCTGTACATAGAGGATTGCACTAATCTAGAAGCTATTCCCAGTTTAGACCACCTCACATCCCTCCAAGAGTTGTCTATTCGTGGTTGTGATGGACTCACAAGTCTACCAAGGGGGATTCAATCCTGCACATCTCTTAAAAAATTGACAAGCAGTAAATGCCACAATTTGATCTCTCTGGCAGATGTCGATGTGTCCAGGTTGCAGTCTCTTTCCAATTTAGAAATATTTGATTGTCGGAAATTAAAATATTTGCCAACCGGGCTACGCTCTCTGAGTTTGGAAAGGATGAAAATCGGTATGTTTTGCGAGGAGCTCGATTCTTTCCCTGATTTTGAGCTTCCATCACAAATCCGATGGTTAAAGATCTCAGGGTGGCCTAAGCTCAAATCTCTGCCTCAACAGATTCAACACTTGACTACTTGTCTACAACATTTGTCTGTAAGGTCTTTCGACAGCATAGAGGCTTTTCCAGAGTGGTTGGGTAACCTTACATCTCTTATCACCCTCCGTACTAAGGAGTGTAAGAATCTGATGTATCTGCCTACCGTTGAAGTTATGGAACGCCTCACCAAATTAAGAGAACTAGACATTGATGGATGTCCTCGTCTAGCGGAAAGATGCGCCAAGGAGAGCGGCCCAGAATGGCACAAGATTTGGCACATCCCAGATATTATAGGTAATTACTTTTCTCAAATCAAATCATTCATTGTTTGTTCATTTCCCTTCCCTCACTTTTCTTTCTCCCGAATTAACTACCATAGTTGACGGAGTTGACCAGTTTGAAGAATCGGAATCTTCAAGTCATGATTCGACTGACTCAAATCCTCACCAAACTAGCACAGTTAGATGTTCATGTTTTTCCTCCTAATTGCTTCCACTTTCACATTAAAGCAAGAAGTGAGTCTACTCTTCTTCTCCAATTAATTACGTTACTCTCTGATCATCAGATTAGTCATTAAAATAGTTTTTAGAGCTTTCTTCTTAATTAATAATGTTTTTCAGAGCTTTGTACTTCGTATGTTGCTTTACTCACGACATCTATCATCATTTTAATTGGTATAAATTGTGTATTATCAGAAGGCTTTTACTCGAATCAGAAGAAAAAGTGAGGTGCAGTAGGTGAAAACTTTATCCACGTTACCAAAATTCATGAGAATTATCCTAATAATGATTTTCTACCTTCCATATGATTATAACAATTGTATCACTTCCTGGCTTCGTTTGTTCCAATTCTTGCTAGAAATCATTTTCATATTGAATTATCCAGGCTTATCACACATAACAAAGGCCTATTGATGGCCATCTTATTGAATTGGAAGAACAAGTGATGCGCAATAGGTGCAGGTACTTCAGTTCAGTTCCCTTTTCCCCTGACAGTATTCAATGAAAATTACATTAATTATCATCATATCATTATAGCTTGTAAATTATTCCATATTAATTCATGAATTTTTTTTCTATAAATACCTATCAATATCTATAAATTTTAAATTTATATGAAATTTTAAATTTGAAATTCATCCGAAATTTGAACAAAAAAATTTATCTGAAATTTGAATTTTGAACCCAAAAATATTATCCGGAAATTTTGTTCGATTATGAAATAGTCTTGACACGTAGGAACCCAAAAATCTTATCCAAAAATATTATCCAAATTAATTATTGAGGTAAAAAAATTTGTGAAAAAAATAAAAAAAAGGAATAGTAATTGCCCTTTGCCATGGCAACGGGTGGAAACGGAAATGGCTTTTTGCAAGGGCAACCACTATACAAGTGAATAGCGGCTGCCCTAGCTCCCCCTTGCCATGGCAAAGGGCAAATGGGTGGAGTTGCTCTTAGGCCACTTCCAACAGCCCCCGAGGGCTCGGGTTGGGGGGGCAAGAGCCCAAATGCAAGTTTCAGCAACAAAGGCTGGCCCTGGCAGGGTGGGGTCCACGAGCCTAGGCTGGTCCGAAGGCAGGAGGAGCCCGAGCTACAGCCCGAAGGCGCGCTAACGTCAGCAGGTGCAAATCAATTTTTTTCTTTCCGCTGCCACGTGGCGCAACCTGGTCCTTTCGATTTCTGATTTTTCATCCAATCCAACGGCCTGAAATTTTTCAAGGCAAAAAATTATGAAAAAAATTTTAAAAAAATCCCAAAAAGTACTGAATTTTTTTTTCTATAAATACCAATCCATACTCTTCACTTTTAACAACAAATTCACTTTCTACTCAATAATTTTTTCACTTTCTACTCAATAATTTTTTCACTTTCAACTCTAAATTTTTTTCACTTTCAAGTTTAATTTTTCTCTATCAAAGAAACTATTAAATAAAATTCCTTTTTATTCAAAATATTCCATACATAAAAAAACTAACCACAACCAAAGTATTAAATATATAAAAACAAACAAACCACAACCAAAGCATAAAAAAACCAAACATAACTAAACATAAACACATAAACATTAAAATCTTAAAAATGTTCTTCACTTCACTTCATTCACCGTCATTATCATAAAATCTCATCCGAAAATATTGTCAAAATTAATTGTTTAGGTAAACAAATTTGTGAAAAAACAAAAAATTGAATAGTACCCCCCTTGCCATGGCAATTGCTGGAAGTGTAACTTACTTTTTGCAAGGGCAGACACTATTCCCGTAAATAGCGTCAGCCCTAGCCCCCCCCTTTGCCATGACAAGATTCCCACTGCTAGAAGTGCCCTTAGGGGCAAGCTTTTGGACTTTGGGAGAAAATGAAGACTTTGTGGTGTGTAGATGGCTCGATGTAAGGTATGATATGTAAGTCTAATAATACAGATAATACGTATTATGTAGTGTGTTAGTTAGGTGGCTTGATACAAGGTATGATGTGTAAGTTTAATAATATCATGGTTGTGAGGATACACATTGGGTTAAAGTGTTGAACAAAAATGCTCCTTAAATATATAGAAAATAAAAAAGGTAATTATTTTTAGTCAAAGCATGTGAAATCAAGATGTCTTTTTTCTAGAAGGATAATACTTAGCACGTGAAAAAATATTCAGGGGTTCTTTAAATTCTAATGATCAAAGTTAGATTTTCGTATAAGGGACAATCCACTGTAAAAAAAAAATTTATTGCAAACTTGATGCATCATTACAAATTCGTCTTCTAGATCTTACTATTCAAACCAAAATTCAGCTGTAGTTAATAGATGGTAATGACAGAGAGATGCAGTGTGGGTGTTGGGTCGGCATGAGCACAATTTTTAACTTGGGTAAACACAAATACGATCAGAAACCGACAAATTCCAATTGGAATAATTTTGAAATTAAAAATGACGTCATAAAGTTGAATGTATTCTTTAATTTCTTACTAGATGATATTATTATTATTATTTTTTTGATCGAAACCTGATGTTATTGAACAACCCAAACGAGAAGGGGCAAAACAGAGACAAAATATATCCCTTTACATATTATATCTCCCTCATTTTCACAAAATATATCAACAGAGCAGATGCGGATGCTAATCTCACAATCTGGGTTGGGCCACTTCAGTTTTCCAGCCCAAAGATATGTTAAAACTGAACAAATGAGGTAAATAAAAATAAGAGATATTTAGTGATATACCCATTCTTAACACTAATATTATAAATAAACCCGACACCATTGAATTTCTATAAATAAACCCAAAAAAATCCCAAAAAATGACAGCTAGCCTTATTGAATTTAATATTGATTATTAAATTACTTTGATGCCATATTGAATGTTTTGGGTATTTTTATGAGATTTTAGGGTTAAGCTTGTTTTAAAAAATTGATGGTAGTTTTGTAATTTATAAGAAGTTAAAAGCCTCTTTTTTATGTTGTAAATGAGTTTTGGGTGTGTTTCTAAAGTTCATTTCATATATGGTATTTTTATAATTTGGACTCCTATATTTGGTATAATAGTGAATCTCCCTAAAAATAACCCCCCCAGAACAAATGGGGTCAATAGAAACAAGCTACATTTTCATACCAACAGGACAACAGAAACAAACTGCGAGCACCTTCCAGCCACGGAGGCCGCCGGAGTTATTGCTGCCTGTAGTGGTTGCAACTGTGATATCATCCTGTTGCTCTTCTTCTTCGTCTGGTAAACATACAAAACGAGAGAAAACCTCCTCTGGAAAACATATAAACAAGACAAGTGAAAATCCCAACAAATTAGAGAGGAATAGGGACTGACCTGTGAATAGACTAACGAAATATAGATTCATTTATTATTTTGTTTTATATTTGGAAATAGTTGGAGTAAAATTATGAAATGCGTCAATAAAACATCACACCTCTCTTATCTTCTTCATCAGAGTCCCCAGGGCGCTTATTATACCATATTTGATCATCATAAGAAGAATCTGTGGAAATACTCATCATATTATAATTCTCTTCTTGTTGCACCTGCACAAGTTGGATGCCCAACTCCTTTACTAGAAGCCCAGATAACATAATTACAGAAACAACCACTTCATCGCCCCCTTGTAACTGATCATCCAAATTCCAGTGGCTCAACCATATCATGTCTTCTCCTGCACCTGGAATACCATAGTCTGATGGGCAATACGCCCCTCTCAGACCGTTGCTCTTATTTTTTACTATTATTTGTGACAAATAATTGTGGTGGATAATAGGAGAACCATAACCAGCATTCACATAGACAACAAAGACAATCAAGCCTCGAGTTCTGTGATTATCAAGTAATGGCACGGTAAAAGATATTGAGGACCCTCTGCTTTTATGGCTGAATTGGCCTGGAACCTCATTCCCACCAAAAAATGTGCTGAATATACCATGTTGATAGAGTCCCTATATATGGATGCAATGAAAATGACATTATTATTAGCCAGCATTCACATAGACAAAAATGACAATCAAGCCTCGAGTTCTGTGATTATCAAGTAATGGCACAGTAAAAGATATTGAGGACCCTCTGCTTTTATGGCTGAATTGGCCTGGAACCTCATTCCCACCAAAAAATGTGCTAAATATACCATGTTCGTACAGTCCCTATATATATGCAATAGAACTGGCAATATTAGTCAACTCTTTCCTGTGATCATATGAGAGAGAGAGAGAGAGAGAGACGCACCTGGACGGGAATCTGATTATCCTTTAGTGAACTATTGTATCGTGAGTCCATCCGAATGGGTTCCATTGATTCCAACAAGTTGCACAATCCCAACAGGTTGATCATTTCTACATCTACACTTCCAATGGGTTGTAACTTGTACCTGTACTCCCACTCAACTAGGTTGTAGTTGCAACCGAATCCGGCACTCGATTCCCGGGATGAAGAGGATTGATACGTTATTTTCTCCAATGATATGCAATTTGTGATATCCAAGTAGTTTAGTTTTGGTAACCCGAGAAGCGATTTGAGACTTGTACACTCATTTAAAAGGAGTGCACCGAGCCTTGTTAATCCTTTGATACAATTTGGTAGGCTACCAATTGGATTATTCCCTAGATTTAGTCTCTGCAATGAGGACAAATTACTAAAATCTATAGGAAATGTATCATCCGAAAGATTGCACCCCCAAAGACTTAATTCTACTAAAGAGCATGGTAATGAACCCAAGATACTTGAACTTCTTTTTAGCCATAATTCACTTATCGGAATTCCATCTGTCTTAAGCACTTTTAAAGAGTCCATGTTCCTCAACATCTCAATTGATAACTCATTTAGATTTGAGCAACCAGATATAATAAATGTTTCAAGTGATTTTAGCATACAAATGTTCTTGGGAAGCATCCTAAGGCTTTTGCAATCTTTCATATTCAAATACATAAGTCTCTCTAGGTTTCCAATGGATCCATGGACATAAATCAGGCTTGTACAGTCTACTAGGACCAATGTCTCTAGATTTGGGCAATATGAGAAGTCAATGGTTTCTGTAAGGGAATGAGAATGGCTGAGATCAAGGATCTTCAAGGACGGAAGACACTGTAGGGGAAAAAATGTGCGAAAGAAAAAATCAATGTTGGGAATTGATTGTTATAGATATATATCAAAATACAAGCCTAATGAAATGAAAAGAAATTGAAAAGCATATAGTAACATACTTTTGTTCCTTTATAGATTTGTCTCAAGCCGCTATACTGCATTTCAAGAACAATCAGACTGCCCACAGGAAAATCGGTGGGTATAGAATCCAAAGGAAATTCAAGCCAACACAACCATCTTAATCCAGTACAAAATTCTGCGTAACATCCGTCGAGTTTTACATGACTGAGATGGAGTAGTTTTAATTCGTGCATCCTTGAAAATGAATTGGTTTCCAAGACTTTCTCATTTGAGTTTAGGGGACTGTTTGTAGGGCACATGTGCATGTCTAGGACAAGACCTTCAATTGTTTCCGTACCCTACAGAAGAAGGAGGAAAAACATTTGGACAGTTCTTAGAAGAATAAAAATAAATATGTGTAAAAATAACGCATATTTCTTACATTCTTTTCCGTCAAGATTTTGAAAGAGTCTTTATGATGCCATACTCTACTACGCTTCCAAGGCTCCTTGGATTCTAGGCGAACAATTTCTCTTCCCATTCCACGAATCAGGTTGTGCATCTGCACCTTGTCCCATCCATCAATAATCACCAAACATCTATCAATGAGATTTTGAATGCCAACAAGTGTGTAGAAATCACATCCATCTAGTATGTTAACAATGTAGTCTTTGTCCTTTCCGATAAAGAAACAAGCAATGTGGAGGAATAAATTTCGGTCATGGTCATCTTGCAAAGAGTCATAGCTTACTCTTAGTTTATTTATTATTTCACCATTTGGAATAGCTTCTAACTTCTCCAATGCACTTTTCCATAGACATATACTTTCCCCCAACAAAGAAGAACCTAAAACTTTGAGAGCTAACGGAAGTCCTTCGCAATGATCGACTAGCTTCTTTGAATATTCTACGTAATCTTCAACAGGATGGTCTTGGCCAAAAGCGTGCCAACTGAAGAGCTCCAATGACTCTTTTTGAGTCAAAGTTTCAACTGCATACACCTCAGTAACTTGATGAGCCTTTAACAATCTTGCACACCTAGTTGTTATGATGATTTTACTTCCTGGATAAAATCGATCTTTCATTTGAAATACTGCATCTAATTGGTCCATATGATCCACATCATCGAGAACAAGAAGAACCCTTTTAGAGCTCATTGCATCTTCAATCTTAATTAATCCCTCACTAACATTGCTTATTTTCATTTTTCTCCCATTCAAAATGTCAGAAAGAAGTTGTGTTTGTATTTGAACTAAGCCATTGGGTTGCTGTGAAACTTCCTTGATATTTTCAAGGAAGCTGCTTCCTTCAAATATTCTAAAGTTTGAATTGTAAACAGTCTTTGCGATGGTTGTTTTCCCCATACCACCCATCCCATAGATTACAAGTATGCCAACATCAGTTGACCTGCGTTGTAACCAGAAATTAATTCTTTCGACTTTGGAATGCATTCCAACCAAGTTGGGAGCAACACTCAATGGTGTGCGACTTAGTTTGTCTCCAATCACTTTAACTATTTTCTTGATAAACTTTGACTCGTACCTAAAAAATTGCAACCAAAATGAAAGAGAATTCAAACATGCATGCATGATTTCATATACTTCAAGTTATAAAATACCATGATTTCATATATAATCGATATTAATAACGAGATACTAATTCAGTTGCAACCAAATAAAGAAACTAATTCAGTTGGTAGTAGGAATGAAATTACCCATGAGCTTGATTTTGCAA